ATAGAATTTAAAGGTACTATATTACTCAGACTTGACTCTTATGAGCTTTAAAGCATGTTATAATATATATACCATGTTATAATTGTTACCTCCTCAGCAGACCTGGAGTTGTGTTTAGTTTCATTCACACATGTTTGAGTAACTCTTTTATTATTAATCTGTCTACATCAAAGCTCAAAATGCTCTGTTTGACCTTATGATGTCATCAAGTGTTAGTTTTCAAGTTAACAGCTACAATTTACCTGGAGTTTATTAGAGGAAATCTAAGACTGAAATTATCCAAATGACTCTAGTGAAGGTGTATGGAGTTTAAAAACACAGTGGAGCACTTTCTGTATTACCACATGACAACAAAGGTGAACAGGGAGATGTTTTAGCTGTTTTCTTGTTGCAACAGTCACAGAAACAAAACGAAAAAAAAATGAGAAGCGCGGCTCCGCTTACTGCCGATACACGTTGCTCGCGCACTCTTTCCATTCGCTCGTTGAATGAGGCTGATACTAGAGTCAACATCAAATCAAAAACTATTCAGAAAAGGTACATTTTCCAGTACTGATACATGTTCTAAAGAGTTACAAAACTAGTATTAGTAGCCTTAATTTGTATCTGTTTTGTATCTGGGCTAACTCAACTGAAGCCATAAAAGAAAATGTTACATGTATACTTCTTGACACTAAGTTAAATAACATCTTAAGTGTTTTTTCCTTTGAATATTTTCTAACTGACACAATGGAAATCCTACAAGCCTTATTAATTTGAACTGTCTGTAAAGTAAAGACTGGACTGACCACAGACCACAGTAGTTTGAAACAGTGATGGTAGAAGAAATAGTACATGTGGTACAATCAGGGTAGTAGATGAGGGGGACAAAGGGGTCTGCAGGATTTTAGGGACCCAGAATAAGACCCAGAATTAGGTTAGAGGCTTCTAGCCCCGGGCCCCCAAATTTCTGTCGACGGGTCTGGGTACAATAGGGGAAGAGGAGGAGAAGTGTAGCTAGTATTGCAGTAGTAATAAAAGCTGTGATGTCTTTGATGGATGAAGTAGATCTATAGCAGTATTTAGTAGTAGTGGTAGTAGTAGTGATAGTAGTAGCAGTAGTAATAATGAAAGTAAGGTCTTAAATATAGTGTGCAAGAATGGTTTGCTAAGTAGGTAACATGATTATTTATTTACAGAGACTTGTTTACAACTTATCTGAATCGTCCATCTTAATTTAGCACATAAAAAAGATTGAAGAAGCCTGTTGAATGAAATAAATTATTAATGGCATCCTGATGTTCACTGATGCAAGATATAGAGAAGACAACAGAGCTAAGTAGTAATAGAACAGTAAAGATTATAGGGAAGACCAACTACAACATGGACTCTGTAATTGGCTCTGTAACATGTTAGCTACAAGTAGGCCTGTCACAATAATTACTATAAACTTATCATTCAATACATGATAGGTGGGATTATAATTTTTGCAGTCAATATTTATTGGGTTTATTATTTTGTACTACTGGGAAAGTTTTTGATTATTTTTCTATACTACAATGAGATTTGAGCACCAGAAAGTTGAATTGTGAACTTCTATGACTCATTATAGATAATATCTAATTACCTAAGCGTTATATTCTGTTATATATTTATTGCAGCTCATGTTTTAACAATATTGTACATTTAGAATTAGGGATGTAACAATACCCAAAATATCGTGATATCGTATTGTCAAAGTTCTTACAATAATATCATGGACCATCACAGTATATCGAATTACAAGCATCTTTGCTTAACTTAAGAGTTATGGTACAGCAATAGCTTGAAAAAAGACAGAGGGAACTACATAGACCATAATCCTTTTCTTCATTTCTGTGTAGACTACAAGAAGAACAGTTCTAAGAACTTTTAAGGCTTAGTTCTTTGGATTGAGTCTTGTCAAGGGCATTTTAAGAGGAAAAAGTAGCATATTAACAGTTTTGTTTGCCTCCACCAAATATAGCAATAAATATCATACCATGAAATATATATCGTGAAAATATCATACCGAGAGATTTGGATATTGTTACATTCCTAATTGTGAGTCTCCCACCATATTATGAGCTTTTCCATGATATCGCAATAAATATCGTACCATGAGGTTCATACTGTGATGATATCGTATCATGACACTTGGATATTGTTACACCTTATTTAGAATACCTTTTAGGGGATAATTCTGGTTTATGGTTTGGTTTCAGTATTATTGTTAATAGTCTATATTTACTTCAGCAATATAGCGCACACAAAATGAGTTATTGTGACAGCCCTAGTTAAAAGTAAGTCTGTCTGAGTCTGTTTTTCTTTTGTACATTTCATCTTGTACGATGTTACAGAGGAAATGACCACACCTGCGCCAAAATCATTGTGTGAATGACAATTACAGACTAATTACCTTCCAGACACTTGTTGAGTATGCCTATGTTAACATGTACATGACCAAGCAGAAACAGGCTCAGGGACATCGATCATTTTGCAGGAAAAGTACACAGTGTAATAGATAGGACATTACATGCGGTGATGCTGAGAGGGGTGTGGCAGCATCAGTGCACATGTAGCCAGGCAGACAGCGAAGGTCCAACCAGATAAAACTATCTCATTATGTAAGTGATGCAACCGGTGGCAACTGAAGGGGGTTAATGATATGTTATCTTTTACAATTAGTCTCTTTAATTTTGATGACAACGTATAATTAAAAAATCAGTAAAATGTCTTGGCAAGGTTTTTACTCAGACGTGGGAATGCGTAATCATGGCAAACTGAATGTAATGTATTCAAATCGATGTGCTGCATTAAAGACCCTTTAACCCCCATCATGAATCACTAAACAGCTGCCGAATCACTGAAGAAAAAAATGTTAATATGTCTAAATCATCAAACAGGAGCTGTGCGTAAAGTCCGCATCGCGAAATATGATGGACAGTTATTTACAACGTGGGTGCACCGTGTTCTGGACAGAAAACCCGACTGTATGTATTACTTATCGCATCACTGGCCCTAACCTGGTCTTATAGGAAGTAATAGCACCACAATAGAATTACACAATGCCCAACAATTGCACTTGCTGTGTATGGCAAAGATGGTGCACAAAAAGGAGTCAAATCTCTATAAGCTTTTCGACGTCGAGTGCAAAAAGATGCCAGTTTTCACCTGTCCCTTCAATACTCCCAGTCGATATTATATTATTTAATCATATTTGGCCATATTGTAGTTGTCCCTCATAAATAACAGTCAGATGTCGAATATGGCGAAAATTACAACATAATTACGCGAGTGTAGTCGTTTTATCTCTTTGCCATTGTGTTCAAATTGGTGACATTTTGACACAAGCAGAGAATGAATGGAACAAAACGTGTAAAATGAAATAATCTGCAAGATTATTGAATGCACCTTTAAATCATCAAACATCAGCGCAATTTCAACTCTCTGCATTTCGTAAGATATGAAAAAAATCGTAATTCATCGGTATGTTGTCAAATTTCTTACCCGTTTTATCCAGATATCCAGATCCCCTCCGCTGCAAAAGCCTCTACACAGACTCGAGGACAGCTGCCACCAAGAGCCGCAGATGCTTTTGCCCGACAGCCAATCATACAACGAGGAAAACTGAGAAACTGAGAGGGCAGCCAATGGGAGGCGAGATGTGTCCTCCTCGTTTGGGGGAGACAGGGGCGTGTCTCCTCCTGCCTCCGGAGACAGATGGCGCTTTCACTAGATGTAGGAAAAACGGGTGCTTGGGTTGGAGTTACCTTTTCATGTCGGTGATCGATATTCTAATCATCAGCAGAGCGTGTCAAATGGGCTTTTGTGTGAAGGATAAAAGCTACTGCCACGTGTATTGTCTATTGTTTCTGTTCCTTTGAATCGTTTGGCAATTTGTGGGTGGTGTCTTAGTTTTAATAGGGGGGTGATTTGTGGTTTAAAAAAGTAAACAAAAGAAAGTGGCGAAAATAGTTGTGCTGCAACAGTACTCCAAATTTGTTTCAGTTAAAATGTAATATGAATTAAGTACTATATTACAATAAACCTAATAACTACTGATTACTTATATTTCTATTTTATTTTGACTTGTACATATACATTTCTATAACATTTGTATTTTTAATTCCTTATTTGACACCTGTCTCTTGCCATCTTTTTTGCAACTTATTTAAAATGTATTATTACCATTTATATTTTTTACTATATATATCGAATTACAAGTCTCTTTGCTTAAATTAAGAGTTATGGTGCAGCAATATTTATATTTTAGCCTCCACAAAATATCGCAATAAATATCGTACCGTGATATGTATATCGTGAAAATATACTGAGAGATTTGGATATTTTTACATCCCTAATCACAAGCCTCCCCGCCTTTCCCATAATATCGCAATAAATATCATACCGTGACAAGATCGTATTGTGAGACTTGGATATCGTTACACCCCTACTTATTATATTATATTGTGATAAGTGAGCTACTGTGTCCAAACAATTTCCCTATGGATCAATTAAGTCTAAGTCTAATACAATGAACCACGTAATATTTGTTAGGGTTGTGGTGCTAAATCTATTATTACTAAAATCACCTGCTATGGAGATTTCTAAACTTTAAAAAATGTAACTGAGTCTGCAGAAAAATATCAGCTGAAGAACAATTTGATGTTACATTTTCCTTGTTACCAGTGAAAGCATCATTAGCCACAGCACTGACATCACCCTTTTGAGTCTTTTAGGAAAAGAACAGGTTTGATCAATTAAACTCAGCATCACAACCAATAAATTTGAGGACAGGTTGTGGCACATTGGTTAGTGTCATGCCTCAAACAAGAGGGTTTTGAGGTTGAGCCTTTGCACCTTACAATGATTTCTAACCACAAATTTTTGTCTTAAAATATAGGGAGTTAATTATCTTAGAATCTAGCCACACACTTGCTAATGGTAACAATTATTAGGAATAAACCTATGCAAAATTAATAAAAAAAACACACAATGTATCACAAGAAACAGTCCTTTTTATTCACGTTTCATTTCTTACATAGTTTCAAGTACAAAGTTAAAATGCCTTTTAATTAGTTCATATTCATACAAGAGTAAAATAATAATAGTGCTTTTTCATTACTACGACAAACTTAAATACAGTCATGTAAAGACAAACTTGATTTAAAACTCCTAACAATATATTTTTCTTATTTTCAGATAAAATTTTAGCACCTTTTTGAAAACATCCACCATTTCCTCCCTTCCTTAAAAGGTCGTCTTCCTTTAAGTCTTTGAGATGTGAGCGCCATTGTTGTATTGTGTAGAGCGTGTGTGTGTTGATTTGTAATGGACAGTGTTTTAAATGTGTTTGAGTATGTATCAGTAAAAAAACAGCGCATTTTTCAGCCTAAGAACTGTCCATAGGCTAAAACAGACATCATCCCCTATTCATTCTTCTGTATACAAATATCACACCAGTTCTAATGTCTGAGTCCATGTGTGCACTCAAATAGGTTCGAGCTGAAATTATACCTGCTACAAATAGTCACGGTACAACTACATTTTATATAAGGATGTAATTGTAACTGTTAAATACTTTTTTCTATTGTTATACATCGACATACATTATAGGCCTTGAAATGGACCTCCGTATAAGAACGCCACACAAAGTAATGAAAATGTCCACAGATGATCCTTGTATAAGCAGACAATAATATGTCCCAGCAGGACCACCATACATAGAGCATATTGTAAACAGAGAGGTGTGAGGTGATGAAGAGCGGATGTTATCTTCAAATTCATCTACACTGACTTTTTAAGACTTGTATGTCTTACAAATACTGTAATGTAACTCAAAACAGAATGGGTTCACATTCAGTTTATTTATTATATGTCTGATCTTTCAGTTAATTTAGTATAGAAAGATTAGTACTGATGTAGCAAGTATCATTTCCACTTGTCCTAATTGAGTGCATTCAGAATCTGTTCATTTTCATCCTTTGTCCTTGTGCACAATAGACAAGTCACTATACGGTAACTAACTGTAAATATGCGCTCTCTAGCCTCTCTCATCTATAGGCCGAGACTGAACGGAGCACCCACCTGTAACAGCACACACACTTACACACAATAACAGGTTATTATTGTAGTTATTATTACCATTATTATTATCATTACTCCCTAATCTAACATCATGAAGCTGGAGATTACACTGACTGACTGACATGCAGCACCTGGGACGGGGTGGGAGGGTTAGGAGAAGGGTTTTGGGTGAGGAGAAGGGTCTGGGAGCACCAAAAGCCCCTAGGAGGTGTGGCGCCCCCTAGTGGACTGAATAGAGGCCTGGTGGCAACAGGCGGCCGGTGGAAAGCACAGTGTGTATGCAAATGTGTGTTAGGGTTAAAAAGTTAAAAGGCACCTATTATACTTTATGGCTTTATTACATGTGTGGACTTGTGCGTACATAAATATTGCACCAAAAAGTGACTTTCTGAATGTAACAAAATGGGCTACTGTACGATAAAAGGAAATCTAACACAAAATGTATTGGAATTTTTTGTAAGACTAAAGCTGACATAAACTGTAGTATTCTTTAAAATGTAAAACCTGTAAGAAGCATGGTTTACAAGCCAGTGTACTAGTTTATCATTTCAGGAAGGGCTTTCAACGTAAAACTTTAACCAAGTAAAGGCAAACAAAATTAAAGTGGCAGATGATTATCTGTAACAATAACTTAAAGGAAAAGACAGTGAGCCATGACTAGTATAATAGGTGACTTTTGAATAAGTCTGCACCATGTATGATTCCTGTAATTGTAACCTGTAAGAGCACTGTAGAAAAGAGCTGAAAAAAGCACCTGAAGGTTGGTTGTAGAAACAGTAAGATAAGATCTTAAAGTAAAGCTGCTGGTTGTACTGTGGTTAGTATAGTACGTGTCCAGTTCTGACGCTGGTTTGTGGAAGGCTTCCTGGGAAATGGGTCGAGTTACTCAGAGCACCAGACTAAGTAGATGTTTCTCAAAGACAGCCCTGTTTAAATGAGTAATACCTTTGAATTACACTGTGGTTTATTTCCTGTCAGATAATAACTATATTTACACTGTGGCAAGTAGAAAGTATTTATCTTTAGTGTATTTGTGGTTTTACTAAAGCTGCGTAGTGGCCGAATGGAAAAGATTATGTCAACATCGCATTAGCAGAATGATGTTTACTTGTATTGAAGTACATTATTACATACAGCTTGGGCCCAGTGCTTTAGTTTACACTCACATACTGTAAATAACAGAACCAAGTTTGCAGGTTCTTTGACAATGGACAGCCCAGTTGTGTAAAGGTATATAGGGTTTAAACATGGCTGTCTGCTTCATTCGTAGGAAGTTGAAAACCAGCAGAGCATGTGACATTATAGCTGCATTAACTGTAGGATAATTCTCTTACATCATGTGGTAGACTGAGAAGTAACTAAGATAAGCACGCCCAGTTAGTCTTATTTTATAGTCATGTTTTGCTACTTAGGAAGAAAGAATTTTAACCTAAAAGGAGACATGGAAGCCACCAGAGGGCAGTCAACACACCTCTCATCTACACTTGTGATGTGTTTAGACCTGCAGCTACTTTAATAAAATTGAACTGCATCTTGCAAAAAAAGAAGAAAGAACCAAAAGAATTTTGGTTGTTCTCAAAAATATAAAATTCCACATTTAAAAGCTCACAACAAAAACTGCTGTGTTTTATGTCACTTTAAAAGCCTAACATTTTAAATAGTAATGGTCCTTTAAATTAATTTCAAGTTTATATTTTCTTCAGAACTTTTCATGATTATAATTCTTTCTTGTGTCATCTATTTAAAACTGCAGTGGCTAAAACAACATGATTCTGTTTGTCCCTTAAGCACCATAAACAGATAAAAGTAGTTAAAAGTTGCACCATTTGTATGAGTATCGACAGTGTGTGACCAGCATCAGAGTAAAAACCAGTGATTGTAGCATGTCGTACACCAGAACTCAAGGAAGTGCTTCAGATGGAATAATTGTGTTAATGTAGGTAAAAACAGGAAGTTGTACGTTTGGTGCCCCCTGGAGGACACAGCTCTAAAGACACCAGGCTGAGTGGATAGACCGGAGTCCTGCACCAGTTGTAAGTGTATAAATCGCCTTTGCTCTGAGGAGTAGCACCAGGGGACTAAAAGGTCTAGTATTTTGCGTAGAAGTCCTTTGTGTATATTTGTGTGTCAGCCAACCTTCATGTACTAGCTGTGTGTGTCTGCCATCTTGTCATATTGTTGTCTTATTCTTGTCTGTGTGTGAGAGACTTGTCAGGACTAGTTGCAGGCGAAGTACTCTTTGAGGGGAGCAAAAAGGTGCCTGATGACGGGGACACTCCAGGAGCGCCCCAACAACCGCTGCCGCGCCAAACGGCTCATGTTGGACACATCAGTGTAGTGCACGGGGAAGCCAAATACTCTGCCAACATAAAATGTACTCAGTCAAAATAGTCATACTAAACTTCTCACAAGGCACAAATGCACAGTTTTTTGTTTTCTTGTTTGAGGTATTGAAGAAATTTGGCATTAATACACATTTTCATAGTATATCTCTGTTTTTAATGTACTTTTTGCAAATGTATGAAGTCTTTATCTTCATAAGGAAACTTCTACTCTGTATTTGACCAGTCCTTCTACCCAACTTGTCATGAGGATTGGGTAAAACCAGAGAAGCAAATCTTGTTAAGAGCCAGGATCTTGGGTAGAGTTATCTAGCTAGATGGTTCTCGATTGTGCATAAAGTAAAAAGAATTATGGTAATTTCTCAGCACTATTTTATGTCTTCTGCAATAGACACCAGTTAATACAATTATGATCAACATCATCGTACAATACCAATCCTTATACTGGGCATTAATCATGAGTCTGAAGTGCAGTACCTCTCCATCTCAGTGCACCACAGGATGTCCTCCTTGTTGTCCATGTAGACGGGGAAATGCTCGTCTTTCCCCTGCTTCACAGAGTTGGAGCGTGTCGTTATCGTACGCAACTTCTCAAACTGAAAGTCACACCGGCACACCAAGCCCACACAGAGACACACAAGCACAGACACACAGCAACCCTATTAATGCTAAAGCTAGGACCTATGGATAAAAAATGGTTAAGTGCGACAGAATTAAAATGAAAACAATCAATACAAGTGGTTCTCATCTGAGTTTCATGGGACCCAATTAAAAAATAATATAATAAAAAAATAATAATGATTTAGTGAAGTCTTTCTTCGGTAATGACTCACCAGTTGAGAGCCTAATAAATCTACATACATACCTTAGCAGTGCGGCCGTGTTCAAGGCACTCTTGTAGGTCCAGCTTGTCATTTACCATTGGCGTAAGAGGCCTTAAAAAAGAACAGGACCATTTTGAACCTATTCACACGTAATTACTGTAAGTTTTGATGTTTTGTGCAGTACCTAGACATGCCGGGCAGGTTTCCCCAGAAATATCGAGCGCGGTGAGCAGCGGAGACCTCTTTAGCATCGATCATGACTGGGTTACACTGAAATATAACAACAGCATTGGTCTGTCTGACTTCATAGTATTATACAATCTGAATGATGCGCTTACCTCTAAAAAGCGAGAGATGTCTCGTTTGTCGCTGACCCCCATGGCAACCACATTTTCAAACAGCCAGAAGAAAGGCCTCTCGTCACCAGGTTTGGGCCGAGCTTCATGAAGAAGTCGGTAAAACTCAAAAAACAACCGCCCAGTTCCCTCTGCAAAAAAAGGTTAATTTCTCAATTTCATGGTTTCTTATTTGTTTGTTCATTGTGACTGCTAAAATGATGATGAAATTAACCTGCTACATCAAAAGCTAACAGTGGTGGAAATTAAAACTAGAAGCACTTACACATTTAGAGTGTCTTACCAAAAAGGCCTTTTCGTGCAGGATTGACTATTGACAAGTCGTTACAGGGACTTCCTCCTATTACCAGGTCAAATGGTCCCCACTCTTCGATCTGAAATGACAAAATCATACAATATCCACTGTTCTAGCAAACATTAAGATCATGATTCTAATAAGAAGCACAATGCACATCACAACATGCTGTATCTAATAAATAATTGCTATAATTGTAAGTTCTTTGTACTCACATGTTTGCGTGTTACATTGCGGACATCCCCAACATACATGATGCGCCCCTGGTGCCGGACCATCCCCACGGTGATGGAGTCCTCACACACCTCTGACGCCACGTATTTGTCCACCTGCAGCCCCAAGTCCTTCAGCACCAACAGACCTGGAGACAAAGATTACTACTGTTACTGATGGAGAACTGATTAAAAATAGCATAATAACATAAAATACTGTATACTCATAAATGTTAAGGTCACCTGTGGCAATGCCATCAAATAATGACAGTACTCGGATGGGCTGTCTTTTTTCTGCTGCAACTGGAGGATACAACTTGGCTGGTTCCTAAAAATCAAGGACAATTATATCATAACAATTGTAATTCAAGAACACCAACAGAAAGTTTAGTTTATTTATGAATTGGATCTGCTCCCTCTGCCTACTGCTTTGCTTCAAGGCAAACATTAATATTGGAAGATTAATATGTTTTGTTTTGTTTTTTCTTAAGTATTAACAAAAATAGTTCATTATTTACTAAAATTATAACTAACTACTTATTAGTAACAGGTTCTATTATTGCTCTACATTTGTCCAAAAATAGCACTAGTGTTGCTGTAAAATAAAATAACATCCAGAAATTGTAAAAATATCATCATAAAATGATTCAGAAATAACACATGCAGTTCTAATAGTGCAATCACAAATGAGCACATACAAAGTCCTGCTCGTGGTTGTTGGCGAAGAAGTGCTGGAGCCTGCAGGGCCAGTCGTCCCGTCGCCGCAGCAGGCCATAGGTGTTCCGTGGTCCACACATGTAGCAGTTCCATGGGTCCTCCTGGATGGCTGCAGCCGCAGAGCCTGCCCCAACCAGCAAGTCCACACACTCCACACAGAAACACCTGCAGGAAGAGAGTCATGACGTCAGGATTTATTTAGTTTGAAACCTAAAATTACTACAGAATCTGAAAACTTTTTAAAATATTTTAAAACACCATATATTTTGCGGCTATTGTTGTGTTCATATTTTGGTATTCATTTTTTCTTGTAGTTTCGCTAATATTAACCTGACACATGCCAGAATGATATGTGTCACACCTTGAATTGACCTCTACACATTTATCAATCTGGAATGGCTCTCGTTGAAAGTGATCGGAAAAGGTGGAATATCATGACATATATTTGAGTTTGACTGGTCGAAGCGCCAGCAGACAACAGACATCTTCCCTTTAAACAAATGCAAACATTTTCGCCAAAATAGGCTGAATTTAATTATTTTGCTTTGCTTTGGCGCTTCGCCTTTGGCTTCTACACAAACCTCAGTGCTGCTCTGTCTTTGGTCCGCCTGCTGCTGGATGAATTTGAAGTATGTCAAGTTGGATTCTCGTGAGTTTGTGAACTCACAAATACTGCGAGAATCTTGCTGTGCAAGGTTACGTCAATATGGCAATGATAATTCTGAAACCCATGGATACTTAACATTTAAATCAATCTTTAATACGTTAATATAAGTAAAACACCATTGTTGGATAAATGGTTAGTGCGCATGAGTCTGATACAGGAGAGCAAAGCTCTGACTGTTTGCTGTGGAGTCAAAACTAAAGGCATAGGGGTCACCAGTCACCACTGTGTTGTCTATTCCTGGGTAGATGCTATCTCTGTAACAGTGACTAATACTGTGCCCAAAATGAGCAGTAAATAAACTACTGATTCGCTTTGGGGACCACTGCATCATATTTGGACATTTGCGGGTAAACAGTTTCAGGAGATGTTAAATCAAAACCATTTGTATTTGAGTCATAAAAGGGGTTTTGTTCCACTGACCTGCAGCAGTTGTTGTTGCCGCACATGAGCACTTCCCTGCCTCCACAGCAGATGGTGCAGTAAGACTGGTATCCGTCATCATCATATTGATAGGCACACTCCAGGAATGAGTTCTGCATCAAGCAAGATAGATGAGGAGAGACAAAATCATTTATTACTGCAAACTTTTTATGATCAGAATGAGTGAAATGAATGTAAAATGACAAGTGAATAGTGTGTAAATGCCATACTTTGCAGCCCTGGCACATGGCTCCCATAAAAAGAGGATGCTCCAAAGAAACATTGAGGCTTCCACATGAGATGCAGATATCTGTGAAAAGAAACAATTATCAGCATTAGCACCACTTTTAAGTCTGATGTCACAATAAAGAAACAGTCTCAGTACTTTTACCTTCTATGTTTCTCGTCTTCTTTTTTATTTCAAATATTAGTCGCTCTAATTAAAAAAGATCAGTTAATATTATAATTTAAACATTAAAATTCTTCATCATAAAGGTCTGTTTACCTCTGGTCCCCTCATCGATAACCTCTCTGATCTTCCCCTTCTCGGCTGCGTTTTTGCGTGGCTTCTTTGCAGGTGGAGGTGTGTACGCTGCCTCAGGCTCCGCCCACATTTCATGGTACACCTCCTTATATGGATTTTGTTCCTCTGTGAAGCCAAGGACAGAAGACGACTAGTTTAACACTAATGCGTGAATAAGAATACTATCTCCAGAGACTGTGGTGTACCCTCAGGAGGATCCAGTGATTGTGGTCCACCGGGTAAGAAGCCAGTCATAGCCCATTCGATCATCTGTCGAGTCTGCAGCTCCACGGCCTCTCCCTCGTCACTGGAGTCACACTGTGGTAGAGGCCTGCCTGCCCGGGTACTGGCCACCTACACACAAACACACACTCAATCTCTGCTATTTGATGTGAGCTTTGTAACTCGTGGCAGTCTGGATGGAAAAAAATACCCTTGATGTAAAAACAAACACCAATTATGTGTGGCCGTCCTGTTCTTTAGTGTTTGTATACAAGATAACCATAGTCCGTTACTGATTTTAGGCTAGTTTAAGACATGCACCAGAGGTTCTGAAATCATTTTAAGTCTTGCCATGTTAAAATGCAGTATTACTTATATATACATGAATTAATTGAACAAAAATAATATTTAAAACCCCAGTTTAGCAAAATGGTTATTGTCAAAATAAAGTTTTTATCTAGAGTGTCAGTTACCTGCAGTGCTTCAAAGATGGCTTTGCGGTACATGGACTGTTTGTTGTAGGTTGGTTGGTGGAAGGCGGCGGAGAAGGAGCTGAAGAGCATAAGCTTCTCCACACAGACCTATGAACAGGATAACAATATTAGTATTGAGGTGTGTTTCCTCTTAATAATTGTAACCAGTTAAACATTTAAGCAGTAGACAAAATGCATGCTTGGTTTATTTTATGTACATTTTTATTGACAGGTACCATCTTTGAATATCTTCTATCCAGAGGTGGGGACTTGCAAGTCATGACTTGGACTCGAGTCAGACTTGAGTCACTATTTTAGGAATTGAGAATTGACTTGATAAAATGGACTAAGACTTGGGACTCGACTTGGACTTGAAGGTCAGTGACTTGGGACTTGACTCAGACTTGAGGCCTGTGACTTGAGAAGATTTGAGAAGCACTTTTAAATCTGAATTCTTTCTATTCTGACCATAATGGTTCACACTAAGATCTTGTCAAAACAAACAAAAGGAAAAATGAACTAAATGCATTTCTACAACTCTTATATATATTATTATATTCTCATATATAAATATACTATGATTTTTTAAGTACAATTTATCTTAAAAGTCATATAAATTGCAAAAATCTAAGCTATATTTGGTACTTTGGTTTAACGATTTGAAATGACTTGAAGCTTAAAGCAGACGACTTGGGACATGACTTGGACTTCAGGTCAAAGACTTGAGACTTGTAAAACAAAGACTTGGTCCCACCCCTGCTTCTATCCTCTTTGACTAAGACTTTTGGAGATTTCTGACTAAGGCTTGTTGTTAGCAGCTGAAACATGTTAAGACTTAAAAGCTACAAATGAACAATGGGAATGGGAAGAAGAAGAAATTGAGTATTTATTCAAAATAAATGAGAGCATTAGTACGAAACCCACCACTGAGAACTTGCCATCCCCGAACCACATGACCCAGCGCGTGCCGTCTGCCGCCCGACTCCTGCCGCTCACCCACCAGGACACAATCCGGCCAGGCCACCACGAGAACCCCCGCAGCTTCCCAAACACCAGAGTGCCAATGCCAAAGCCTCGGCCATCCTGTAAGTAGTCACAATATAGTCTAGTATTACATACAAATCAGCTCCATCTTGCTGCAAATAAGATAATTTGAGATGCTCCCTTTCCAACTATTGCCAGCAGGGGGAGGAGGACGTCTAATCTTAGCATAAATATCTAAGCACACCAATGACACTGAAAATAGAATCTTATTTTTTAGTTATAAAACAGAGATAAAACTGATTTACCTGGTACTCTATCTCTCTGGGCGGCCTGGTCTCCGCGGGCAGCAGGCTCCGGCGTCATGGCGACGGTGGGAGAGGCGGGGTCTGTGTGTTGCTGGGAGGGGGGCGGAGCCGGGCTGGGGGGCTCCTCCTCTTTTTGAAAATCTCCCTCTGATAAGTCGTCCATCATGCTGATCTCGGCCTCTCTGTAGGCTCGCCGCTCGGCCTGGAAAGTACATTTATAAACAACTTAACCGCTGTAAGTGATTTTCACAGTTTCTCTGAAAAATAGAATAAAAATGTTTTGCAGGTTCAAACCTATTCCTCACTCCGCAAATGCATTTTGAGCATCCTAATTATTCACTGCGATAAGTTTATAAGCGCTTTTCACAGCATCCAGAAGCTAGAACCATCCAATAACGCTAACAAAAACTAGCTACTTTTACAATATATTTCTACTTGGGCAAGATACATTTTACTTTATTACATGAAATCTGGCACAGGTGCTTTAATAATCAAAACTGATTTTTTAAAACGCATGCAAAAACTGAAAGTGTGTGATTTCTCTATTAATCATGGACAGTCTTCTTCCTTCATAGGATTGCTGTGTTATATTGAATTGTGTTACAGGTCCATTTAGGAGACAGCTGATAGGAGACATTTGTCTATGCGGCGACTGCGTTAGATCAAGGCCACAGTGCTCCAGGCTTCAGGAATAATCCACTAATTGTGTCTAAACAGGAAGTGAGAGAGCGAAAGGAGAGAAAGGGTGTGGTACCAGGGCTTAGAGAGTTCAGCGGGTTCATCCAAGTACAGTAGATGGATGAAGCTTATTATTACTGCATTATGGATGAAATGGAAAATAACAAGATATGTATACATAGGCTATTAAGAATAATACATGGCATCTTTAAAATACGTCATAATACTTTTGCAACAGTGGCAGAAGAGACTTCTAGAGAAACAGACAAGTTAACTAGTTCAACTGGCTTAAAAAGTAAAAGTGCTGAAATAGGTTTATAATAGACACAGTGAGTATGAAGCACAAAGTGTTGCTTTGTGTTGTGGAGCTTAGTTGGCAAAAACAGACTGAAAATCAAATGAACAGCGTACTTTGGCAACAGAAAACTCTTACAAGGACAGAAAAAACTCATGCTTGTAAATTAACCTCTTCAAATTAAATTGAGCATTTTATTGCACAAATAGATCCAAGTAATTATTCTGAATTGTTTGTGAGTGTGAGTTTAGTGATAGACATGGCATATATATATAAAATGGTTGAAATAATTAATTTTGTAGAAACAAAACCAAATAAGGTGATGAAGGGATAAATCGGTAATTTTGTGATTAATTATGTTGCATACACTTTTTTGTGCATAGCAACTACACCAGGTGAAAGTATCTTGCATGTGCATTTTCAAAAAGTCCCAAATTTGGTAAAGTTCCAAATCTAGGAATGACATCCACCTCAGTTTCTCTACACATGCCCAAAACTCTCAGAGCACAGAGAGCTAGCAGTCCATAGGGACAATGGTGGTTGAAGGTGTAAATTCAAGAGGAAGAGACAGTAAAAGTGAGTGTCAGGTCGTGACAGTGTCTCCTCAGTTTGACCCAGAGGGCGCGAGGTCACCCCATCCCATTCCTGTTGACCCCTGGCCCCATAAAAGCCCTAATGGGCCTGTTACACGGGCCATAGACAGACCACACATTCTAAAGAGCAGGACAAATCTGCACAGATGAGTTTGTAAAAGAAATGGCTAAATCACAGAATCTCAGTAAGATCAAGATTGTAACTATACTGGAAAATATTCATCAGCATGTAAGATTTATGATGTACTTTATGCTGGGTACTTTAAGTGGCATTGATCCTCTGCATGTTACCTGTGCTGTAGCCATCCCTGATTTAAAGAGCCTGATCCATGCATGTTGATCAGGGCTGGACTCTGGTCTAATCCCCAAACCCATCAGTGGATGAAGCTGTGTCTGTTGCCTGGTAACAGGAGTCATGTGACCATCCCACATGAAGAGGCACTGACTCACTCTGACGCCTTCATCTGCAGTCACATAAACAGGCTCAACCTCCGACTGAGGACACAAACCACCAAGACACAGCACAGACCATAAGAGTTGAGTCCCACCAAACAGTGGCTCAAGGGGTGAAGCGGTTTTCTAATTACCAGGGAATCTGCAGTTTACATTCTGCACAATTCATACTATATAATTCATACTCATACTCACATAGTTTCTATCATACTCATATGTGATTGCATTATTAATCATTGGCGATTCTCAGAGGAGTGGAATAGCAGTCATATTACAGATATTGAGAAGAAAATATATACAACCAACAAATTACTATCTGGTATTCATTCAGTCTCCAGTATAACTAGTTTTATTGTTAACAACAATAAATTACTTGATTTAGAGCTGTGAGTTTCATTCAAAGGTCCAAACAAATGCTACAGGGGACCATAACACAGAGCAAGTGGACTCAGCGGAGGTAGTAACGTTGTGAGTTATGACTTTGAACTTTATCAAACCCTGTGCCCTGGTCAGTGTTTTCACTCTCAGGCCTCTCCTCCATCACCTCTGAACTTTGACCCCGTGACCCACCAATGAGCCATCTCTGAAGCCACGCCCCCTTTAAACTGCTACTGACCCTGACCTCTGGGTGAACTCTTCCTGGTCATACACAAAAGTATATCACTGTTACTGTTATTACTACTACTACCATCACTACTTCTACTACAATTACTACAATAACACACCACTGTTCTTATTATACAGTATCTATCAAATACAATATCAAACATTGGACAGTTTTAGCTTTAGAAGTCAAAAAGGTGAAAGAGCAATCTACCAAGTCTTAGGTGCATTTACACTTGTTTTGGTTTGCTCCTGGTTTGAGCCTAGTTTAATTCCGATGTGGACTTGATTTGGTCCTGCTTCTATTTCATCAGAGTTTCAGTTCGACATATTTAGTCACAATTGTAACGTGGAAATGTGAACACACCCTTAAAATGGAAAAATGTTTAACAGCCCACTGAAATACAGAGTTATTTAGTCACTCAACTTGACTAGTATTCTATTTTTTCTACACAATACTTTACGCCAAAGCAAAAACACAAAACAAAAAACACTATTTGCTTGTAACAATAAGCAAACAAATAATAAAGATTTCAACATGCTCATGATTTTGATGCCAGAAAACAGATGAAACAAGGAGAATCTCTATAATTAATCATATATGTAGCAAAACAAAATGTGAAATACCTAAATCTGTATTCACAAAACTAACCATAAGAATGGCCTTACCAGGTAAAGACAGTACATTACAAATATTTCCTAGTGCCCACAGGAACATTAAAATACATTGGTATCACAGTTACATCCTTCTTGATGCACTGGTGATCTGCCAAGTGAAAAATCCAATAGACTTACAGCACAGGCATCTCCCTTCTCTCCAGGCCGCTTCCTTCCTGTCATCCTCGACACTTTCCCTTTTTCTGAGGTTTCAAAGGAAAACGTCGCCCTATAGCCTTCTGCTCAACCCTGATGCCCTGCTCTGATTGGCCAGACCAAAAGCAGTGATTTAGTGGTTCCTGCAGTGAACAGATGTTTGGGTGTAGAGTTATGTCTGGTAGCCGCAGGGGTTTAAAAAGCAATGATGACTGGATAGAGCCGCATTGTGTGTGTACGAGAGGTCAAAGGGTACGTAAGCACCAGACTCAACAAGACGAAGGGACGTGTTAGGGTCAAAACACATGTGTCAAACGTTGGGTACATCCAGGCTGGATACAGTTGTTTGGATTTTTATCAAGATAGATAGCTCACATAGATATTGTTTATTTATAAGCAATATTTGTCAGAATGGTGGTTTGAGAAAAGTAAATATGACTCAGTTGTGAAGTCAAGAAAAACAAAAGAGTTCAAATAAAATGAAAAATCACTACTCAAGACCAAGCCATCTTTATGACAAAAAAATGCACTACAGACTGCATAACAGGTTGGATTATTATAAGAAATTAGTAAAAATCAAAAATCAAAGATCAAAAATCAAGCCAACAAATATATTTTTTCTTATTGTGTTTGTTTTCATAATTGTGTACTGCTTTACACAGTGAATTAGGATCTATCTCTATCTGATAATTGTTTTGTTTTCTTTTTAAACCATTAACGATACCCGACAACCAATATTTGTCGACATTGATAGCAAGATTTTAAAATCTATAGCAAAGTCCAGAGACTGAAGTTTAGTTGTAGCAAAGTTCCTGCATGAACTGAGAACAAACTGGGACTCACACAGAGACTGAGAAAGTTCAGTAAAAATATCAGTGCTAAATAACTTTTCAATCCCAAAATGAAATCAAAATATGGGAGAATTGGCACCAAAAAACAGTCCATTCCTAGCTGGAATCAATGTGTGACCTAGTTTAATTACACACAATTTCTTTGTGTGCTTGGCAAAAACTTAAGAAATACAAAGCACTTTACCCCCAATAAGAGTTGGTTCTCTTGCCTGTAATGTCTGTGGTGAATGAAGTGGTGCCAGGTTTTGATGGTCTCTAAAAGGGAAGATGTGGTTTAAGACAGAGTTGGGGGTGTGAACAGCCGACTACAGTCCGCTGAATGACAGACTAAACACACACACACGTTCTGCTGGAGAAACCTGGAAACATTTAACCCCTCAACCCATTACCCACTTCACCATCTTCCCTTTTCACATCCAATAACTCCTCCATTTTTTCTTTACTCCCTACAGTGCAATGCTTTACTTACAGCTGATGTGGGTTGAAAACATCTGTCAACATAAGCAAGATGTATGTATACTTTTAGGATTCTGCAAATCTTTGGATAAAAATGGCTTCCCCACAGGTTTTAAGATCCAGTGATGCCAAACATTTTATTTGAACTGGGCTGGTTGTATTACCAGTTGTATTAAAATGTTACAATCATCCACAGGCATTATGAAATACATTTGTACTTTGGTCTTTACTGCCTAAGAATGTTTCTATTCAAAATATTAGTCGATAGTGGTACTTTCATATTAAAATCGAGTTTATAGATGGAGTTTGCAAATCACTTTGAGCTGAGACAAAGAGAAGGACTTCACACAGGCTTCAATCTCTCTCAACAACTCCACTGTGGTCTGTACTAAGTATTGTCCTGTTTGCAGTAATTATTATACTTTACCTCTGCAGTGGCCCATCACACCAGAGCATGGGTAAATAGACAAAAAAATCACTTAATTTAAAAAGTTTTAAAATATATTTAATAGTCAAAATAATATATTATATGCATTTTAGAGTTAGTTAGTTAACTTCAATACTGCTTTCCACTTACACATGTATGCATTAGTTGAAACAGACTATAGAAAATTCACCTCAGTGAACTAATCTATCAATAATCTGTGGTCAAACTGCTTCTGTGATGAGTGTATCTTTTAAAAGTAGCTTCTGAAGTTTGTGATCTGAGCAGCAGTTTTGGTCCCACCTCCATCTTCCAGCGGCTGAGCCACTCCTCCCTCTGTCTGCGACTGATGTAGAATGGGTCTCCAGCCTGATATGTGACTCTGGGCACTGGCCTCCTCCGCAGCCTCCCTGCCTCTCCCTTTGACCACAGAAAATACATGTAATGATGAACATTGAATACAGAGAAGCCATGAAGTGCTGGAAGTGCTAAAGATGGGGCCTGCTCACCTCTCTCGGAGAGTCGCAGTTTCTGTCTTCTGGTTCATCTGAAAAAAAGACTGTGTTACTGACGTGTAAAAACAACAAGAGCATTTATGGGGCCCCAGTAGCTCGTGAAGTGAAAGTCACCCATACAATTTTAAGGTTAGTGGAACACTGCTGACATCTCCACTTTATAATTCCTGCGGGTCTACAGGTAAGTGACGGTCAGAGAGGCCTATGACATGATGAGACTCCATGGTGAGTCATGTCTCCATCAGCCTGGACATTGTCAGTGTAGAAGTACATCTTCGTCTTGGAGGTTTTGTCCACATTTTTTGTCAATTATTCTGAGAGCCACAAAATATATTAAATGCTCATTTTTAATTCTAAAAGAGACACAATGGGCCTCTACTAATGGCACGCAAGTTCACACGCCTTGGGTTGAGCCCCCACCTTTGCTCTTTTCAGTCTGCTCCACTCTCCGTCGCCCTCGTTTCTTGCGTGGGGAGGGTGAGGGCTCTGGTTCCTCAGGTGGAGTTGGCGGGGCGTTAGCACAGGGGTCAGAGGTCGCCATCTCCTAGGAAACAGAAAAAACAGCGTCTAGCTCTCTGTCTGGCTTCATGTGGACTAAACCAGGCTCTCCACACATGTGCAAATGGGTACACACATACACACAAGTATCAAAGAGCTACAAGCATACAGTTATTAGTCTGGGCTTGTTAGTGGGACACAGAGCAGGTATGAGTCCGGCTGGGTCTGCAGATGATCATGGCAGTAAACACCCCCGACCACATTAACACAAACCGCTAACACACGCCAGCACAGCTAATGATTAATGGAAGCCAAGTTTCGGTTGAAAAAAGTACAGTTAATTTAAAGTGTTTTAAATGATAATCAATGATCTTGACAGCACAGATTTTATGCCATCTCATATCATATTTTAAATATGATATGACATTTATTGTTGATTATTTACTTGTTATGAATTAATTGCTGGCTAGAACATCTTGGGGCCTTAGGTGGAGTACACCTTGGACACAGAAAAGACTTGGGTGCCAAAATTCAATACATAGTTTAGCACATTACCTCCAGTTTGTGTCTGTAATTTTAAACTAACTAATCATCCTCCATCACATGATGCTAAAGTTATGAAAGGTCTTGGGGGTTTTATGTGTACATGCCGCTAACAGGCTAGCAGGTTTTATTGGTGGTGAGTTAAAATGGAGGGAAGCCGGGGTGAACATCGAGCTCAAAGGCTACGCTAACAGTGGCGAGTGCTAACAAGCTCACAAAGAAGTAATGAGCAGGTGAGCATGGCAGTAAAAGAGCAGGAACACAACAGTGACTCAAAATGCCCTTGAACAACACCAATTCAACAGCATTATAACAAACACGATATTCTACATTTAATATCATTTGATTTCTGCTCTAAACTAGACTACTATCATCATGAGTATTTATGTGCAAAGCAGCTGCTCTGTCTACAGCAAAAGAAGGTTACATTAAGTCATCTGGACTAAGTTTTTGTCTGAAATCATTTGTGAGATTTTCTGTGTCGGCCCAGGAAAGGAAAAGCAAAAGGTTTTAAAAGAGATTAAGTTGAAAGTTAGCAGAATTGTTGATGTGAGGAAAGGTTAAAGGAGGTGCAAAGATTTATTAAAACCATACTGTACATACAATACAAGTCAGCATTCAGTTGAAACAGTGATATGACAATGTAGAAAAAGCCAAGACACATGATTATTAATAAAATCATATAAACTATGTATTTATAACACTTAGAGACAAAACTTGCTACAAAATAAAGCAGTAACAAAATAATATATAACTAATATTTTAACAGTAAAAGTAAAATATTAGAAATGAGGTGTCTTGGACTCTTATTAGCTTGTACATGTTCGAATCCTTTCTTGGTATTTATTAGCAACATTGATTAGCTCAAAATTGGAAGCTGCATTAAGCGATTTATGAAGTTAAAACATGTGATCTAGATATTTTTAGTTTTAGTGATCTACTTACACATTCAGGAGAACCTGGATTTGCGGTCATCTTATGGGCCAAATGTAAATGCCATACCAATGTCAGCCTGGTTTGGTCCGACTTCTGTTAAAATGTCTGAAATAGTCATAGGGTTTTGCTAAGTGTGCAGGCGTTATTCAAACTCTGAGACATCGAACAGGAAGTGAACGGTGAGCATGTGTGAGCTGCTGAGCACTTCCGCTTTAAGAGAGCACTGCCCTTGAATTGAACTGTTCCTGATGTGAACTGTACAAGACAATATTCAACTATTGTATTCTGCTTAATACAGCTTCAAAATATCATTTGTTTTAGTAGTAGTATTAAGACTTTAGATTTCCACTACTGCTAGTGGTAGTGATGCTTCTCCTACTAATTCTGCAGATACTTTCCCATCAGGGTCAGTGAATATTTTTTAACAATGTAATCAAAACATATTCAAAAATGTATTTAACTTTGTTCTACATTCTACTGTAAGTATCTTTTAATTCTCTAAGTGACACATTTCTGTGCAATAATGTTATTGTTTATCTGATGATAGCATGAGCATGTGATGTGCTTATATGTCACATAAAACAACACTAAATCAGATTCAGTGACATAAGGAAAGTACCTGGGATGTTTTGTTAAAGGCATCAAGAGGCCTTGTCAGGGTACAGAAGCACAACAGGAAATGGCCAACAATAAACAATAGCGTACTTAAAAAAAAAACGTCCAATGAGAAACACACAAAGCATGTGCCCATGCTTTGATGTCGTCAAACATACAGATATTTGACATACGTAAAACATACGGATTATTGGAAAAACAAACATGCAGATTACTGGAAAAATATATTGAACTTTGCCAATATTTTGTAATTGGAAGTTCCAATATCGTATAGTCCCTATTTATTTGGTTTTGTTTTACCACTGATGAAGTAACAATAATGAAGTTGTCCCTTTCATTGACGCAACTTTGGAAAACTATATTCTACATTCCACAGTTAACTTATTTCATGCTAAACCCCATAGCCTCTAGTATTACATACACGGCTGTGTGGTGATGCCTTAAGCCATGACATAAATGTTTGGGCATGTGGTTCTCTATCTCCTCAGTCGTACAGTGCACTTCAAACAGCCACAAGCCACAGATTCTATACACATTCACCGCCACTCACACAAAGAAATGAAACCCCGCCAGCTGTTCCACATATGCGGCCAACACAAGCAATGGACAACACCAAGCAAAAGTGAAAAGATGCCAGTCTTCCCGATCTCCAGTAGGGGGAGTAGTGAGCACTGACTAATTAGTTACATTATTTGCTTATACCATCCACCTGTCCAAGGACAACAGATGGAAATTGACCTAGCTAAAAGATTTGCAAATGGCCCATATGTTCAGTAATCTGTGCTCTCCCTTTTATAAATGAGTAAAGTAAAGTAACAGTGACATGAGTACTACTCAGCAATCTTTGTGTATAATTGCTTGATTCTTATTTTCAGGAGAGAATAGTCAAGAGCAATTACTCCATAACTAGAACTTCTTCACCACTGCGACATTGAACCAGTGCCTTGTCAGTGGTCTGGGTCATTTAGATACACTTTCCTTTGTGGTTAAAACCTGCCCTCCACTTGAGCACAGTGCTGTACAGTAGTAACAGATCTGTGCTGAGAGAATGCAGCCGAGCCCTCCCCTCTGGCTCCTCTCTATAGTTAGTGTCAGAGCAGCTCCACCCTGAGCCCCACACAAAGGCTCTATTCCTGGACACACTCGTCTCTGTGCAGGGTCTAATGGGGACCAGACAGTGCTCTTGGCCCAGGGGCTTCAACCATAAAGACTACAGTATAGTATACTTACAGTTCCAGTTACACTACAATATAAATCAGTGTTCTTTTACATCAAAATTATGACAGCTACAGCAACTTTGTGTATTTCTTTCTACCACTCCAGTACTGATACTCTTTTTCTATCATTGTCCACTACTACTTACAGCTGTAATTTCTAAAGTTTACAGCACAGATCTTTTATTTTTGGTTAAAATATAGAGAACCAAAACTACAACTACAACTACAAACTAATAAGAAAACATATGTTTATAATATTGCACCAAGTCATATTTGTTTTGTCATTTCTGTAAGGAAGTTGTGGGTAATAATGTTTCAGTGTTCAACTAATTACATCATAAATTATATGTCACACCTATGCCGTAACCATCATAATAATATGATTATAATAATTAGACCAAAACTAAACTCACAATCCATCACTGATGACTGCTACTAATATATTTTGACTACCTTAACAGTATATTATGGTGCAAGTGCTTTATACCCTAGTTGAGGCGCGACACAATAGAGGCACAGGTGGTGTTCCCCTAACAGAACTTTGTCTCATTTTTGACAGAACGAGTCCAGACGTGCCGTCCCGCGCACAGAGGGGCATTCACCAAGGCAAACAGGAGGCAGACACATGGCATGCCCTCTTTGCCTTCAGAAGCTGTAACTGCTTATAGCTCTGCCATATTGACTAACGGCAGCAGTTCATATCCTGTACAGTATATTGGATACAGTAATAACAGCTCTGTCAAAACATGTATCTTACTACAAGCTCTATAGTGAATGGACACTGGTCAGTCCAAACCTCAGTCGACATTTCAAAACATATTTCCATCTTAAACTGTACTTAGATTGTATTCACCCTGCAATTACACTTAACTACATATGATGTATTTGTGCTGTGCTTATACTAAAGGTATGTGGGTACATGCCAAAATCTAAACCAAAAACAATAATGGCATAATTCTTACCTGTTAATAATTTTTCTATGGGAATTCCTTGCTTTCTATTGAACAGAAGTTTTGACACATGAGGAAAGTGCAGATATAAATCCTCGTCCGCCTGTCAGTTGCTGATATGTGATGATTGATTGTTTCATTTCATGTGTGGCCTCATGTTTCACAAAGCGCTTCAGGCAATTTAAAATACTATCACTGGTTATGTAGGTGAAGACTAAATAAATCATTTCTTTTCTTGTATAAATCCTTAAAGGCTTAGAGAAAACGCAGACCATAATTGCAGTACTCACAGGAAGCAGCTGTTTGCGTTTCCTGCCGGGACGTCCCACGCGGCGTTTATTAGGAGGGCTGGCTGGGGTCCCCTCCTCCGGGCTGTCCTGGTCTACCCCGTCCTCACTCTGGGAAAATGCAAGACAAGCCAAGATATTTACAACACAATTTAAATGGTGTTTTGATTTAAAATTAGGCACAGAGCAATTATAGATTCAATGTAATTTAAAACATGAGAAAAGGAACTAAAGTAACACCAGAACCTTGTGGTAAGTTTTTTTGTAACATGAGCTGAACAGAAAGTACCAAAATCTTTTAGAGAACCGTTTTCTGTTTATACATTTTCAATTGTCAGTGCAGTCAAAATAGTCTATATCATAGAAGTTTTTCTCAACTGAACTGGCAAGAAACACAGAAAGTTTGCATATTTGTTTCAGTTACATGGTAAAAATATTTAAAACATTTGAGACACTGCGGCATAGTGGTTAGTTCTCTCAGCACAGCCGGAGGGTCCTGGTTTCAATTCCCCGGTTTACCTATTCTCCGCCAGACTGTACAGATTTTCCCAAGAATAAAATATAAATACTAAAAGCATATGGGGAACAATGCCACAGTGGGGTACTGGGGTGTTCAAAAATATCTAAATATCTAAATATCGATATAATAAATAATGTGATGATACAGTATTGATATCGTGGGCTACTGTATCGATATACCGCCAAGAGCATTTTTTTTTGGTATATTACTACTATTTTGTTACAGTGCTACAGTTTTTTTTTGCTTGGAGGAAGGAAACTCGTTTATGCTACATAATTGACATATTCACTGTTTTGATTATTAAAATGTTTGTGTTTCATATGAATTTTGCAGAAGACGTGGTTTAACAAAAACTTTTTGTATCACAGCCATGTTTTAGACATTCTTTTTTATTGAACTGTATTGAATCGATTTGAAATATAGCCTATTGAATCAAAAGTTTACTGTATCGAGATAAGTATTGTGTCGTGGTCCATGTATTGAGGTATGTATCGTATTGGCAAATCATCCACCAACCGCAGGGTCACCAGTTTAAACGTATGTGATCAATGCCCTGTGGCTTATGTAGATTACAGGCACCATGACTCTGGTCTAAAGGATGTATTCTTATTTCACTCAGCCATCATCTCTTCTCTAATGCCAGTCTAATGTTCTCCTGCTGGACCCGGTGCCGCCGTGACACACAAGTGGTTGCTAAGGTGCAAAAACTGCTTAGCAACTGTCTCCGCTGCCCGACTGGTGCTGCTGCCGAAAAACATGGAAGATGACAAATCCCTGAAGACCAACTTGCACACGTGTACAAGTCGCAGAGGTAAACCGCCATGATGCAATCGTCAGACAGATGTTCACGTTGGCATGCAATGAGGATACAACAACACAACAGTCACATTTTGATCATACATGTAACCAGTACACTAGCATTATGGAAAAGCCAAAATATCAATACTGTATGTACTATGCTTATAATCTTGTAAGTATATCAATAATGAGTTTTAACTGAGTGATCTCAATCATAGAGCAGTTTAAGTAGTACATCAGTTGTACATTACGTAGTACAAGAGAAATATTTTATAAAAATTTGTTTTCTGGTGAGTGTCCCTCATCTACATGTCTACAATGTTCTATAATATGGCATTAAAACATATCTATTTTCAGGGAGACAACAAGGGGCTACCACAAAGTCAAGTCACAGGTCAAATCTGTAAAAGAAAAGTTATAGTGCATCTTTAGGTTTTAGTATTATTATTTTGTCCATGTATGATAACATGTAGATTGTCTGTCAGTAAGTTGGTTTTCTGGACTGGGATGTCCTGACTTGACAGTGGCACAAAGGGACACCGGTTTAAACTTTAGTATGTATCCTGTTATTGTGTGTCCATACGTCTCTGATCTATTTCGGTCTGGGGGTTATTTTAGGACACGGCAGTTGCTAAGAGACCAGACTGCAGACCGGGCGTTGAGCAGCAGCAGCAGCAGCCTCCCTGGAGCCGCAGACACCGTGTCCTCTTTATTTGTGCTACATCCTCCCGCTCTGTGCCACCGCTACTACTCCTGTTCGCCCTCTGCTTTGTCTCACCATTACCTGCTCAAACTACAAGCAGAGTTCGTACAAGGAAAATAAATCCTATAACAAGAACATATACTACTTATCCTCTGATTGGTCCAAATGAATTATTTGCCTTTTAGTTTGCAAGAATTTATAATTGCAACTTTTGTCTTTACATACAATTCAAAGCACAAGGTTCTATCTTCTGAATGGTCAAAAGTCCCCAAACTACTAACAGGAAGGTGAAAGCCATGAATATTGAGGTTACGTTTCTAAATAGAAAGTTTTACTCTTGACTAATTTATAAGCTTTGGTCCTGAAAATAAAAGCCTGCAGAATAGATTTAGTAAAATAGAGTGTATGAGGTCAGATGGATCTTGATGACACCTTTTGATAATAAACAGCAGGACTACATTTACTGTACTGTATACCAGTGCACATTAAAGGAGCCCAGTGAAAGTATTGCAGCCAGCTAAAAATGGCTTAGTCCAATTCAGATGATGTACTCGATAAAAACAAAACCAAGGTCAGCTACAGGCAGTAGAGGGACCACAGCAGCTCATGTGAAGGTGATGGGTCCATGCCAAATCAGAAACAAAATGGCCGAACTAAAAGACAAAAAGACGAATGCAAATTCTTTCATAGTGCAGGTATATTACAGGAGCATACAGTAAGTAAGAAGGTTACAGATGTCCTTCCTGGCATAAAACATTATTCGAAGCTTAGAGTTGCCAACCTATTTAGATTGCGATCCCTTGAAGTTAGAAATTTAAGATGTAAAACAAACTCTTGACTTTCAGTATTATAGTAACTCAGTTTTAACCCAAAAAAGTTTACATTGTCTCTGAATTTCCTCTTTGTCCTCCAACCACAACTTTTCTTCCGGCTTATCTCCAGTCTTTGAGCTCCTGTCTGAGGAAGTTTAAAGGGAAAAAAGCCTAGAAGGAAAACTTTGTATGTGTTGGCGCATTGCCAGATTGTGAATGTGGAAGTAGGCGAGTAAGATGTGCCTTTATATAGCAGCAGCCCCATAGAAAAGAACTTCAACCTTCACAGATTTACGAGCCAAACGCCGGGCTCAGATGGGTGCCAATGAAAGGAACTGTTTTTTGGCATATGTATGTCGGGCAGGTTTTATATCGGAAGAAAAAAGGAACTTCCTAAACTCACCTGGGTTGGCAGCTTGGGGGAATTCAGTGAGTCTCTGCGTCAATGTATATTAATAACTATGACGGTATAATATTAACACTCGTAGATCATTCTGTGTCTTAAAGTGGAGTTTTCATGCAAAATCTACTTTTTACAGCTTTTAGTCATATAATAGTTGCTTCCCCTTCTCATTTACCCAGTCAGAGTAGTATTTATAGTGATTCATGCTGGTTTGAATAATCTTTATTCTCCTGCATTCAAGACAACATTACTCTGATCAACCCCTGTTGATCAGAACGTTGAACCCCCAATCCTATGTGTATCAGTGATACACATAGGATTCAGCTACTCACTAGCACGATCTGCAGCTATCCATCAGAGCTGTTGACAAGTCTGCGGTTTGTGATGACGTTTACAGCAACGTTAGCTCCCACTGGGCATGGCATTTTTGTAACGCAGACTTGTTTCTATGATTAAGTACAGCTCAGCTGAATATGCAATGATTTTAAAGTAAATTCATTGAAAACTCAAGGACCCGTTCATATTCACACCTCATTTTAAGTTGTACTTTCCTATCAGATCAATCAGGAGAAATATCTGACACCTTGGTTTGTCACTAAAATATTATTGTCTCTCTGTGTTCTGCTGTTACTAGAAGTTGTGGGTGATCTGAATAGATTTTTCATAGTAATCAAGGACAAATTATAGAACTCATTTTCATAATATGTCTTTGGCAGAGAAAAACACAGTGCACAAACATTTCAGTATATTTCAGCCCTTTAGTGAATACTTTGTCTTACCGCTTGATTGGAGGTGTCATTCTCTGGCGTTTGGGGCGAGTCGGTGGCAGTGGGGCTATTGGACGGCATGGCAAAAAGCAGGTCCCCAAAAACAGTTTAGAAAGAATAAATAATTAAAAAATCAAAACATGGGAAAAGCCCCCGGAGACAACAGGTGCAGCCTCATTCAGCGGTCAGTCACTCAGTCCTCCCCCTCTCTCCTGGAAACACAGATGTAAAGCTTGTCATTCTCTCTTTAGATTAAAGGGTAAACATTTCAAAGTCAGCATCAACACACCAACTATTGTAAAAGACTGAATTCACGTTAATGTCATTTGTTTTAATTGTGAAATCTTCCGGGATCAAGGTAATCACTTGATGCATGTAATTGAATTTCTTTATTTAATTGGAATCATTAAGCCGATTTGTTAAGTTTGAATGAGAACAACACTAATGAAGTAATCAAGACAGACAAGCAAAACAGGATAGTCACATTAAAAAGCTAATTCAATGAAATCAAATTCAATTAATTCAAAAGGTGAGAAATCTTATAACTCTTATAACCCAAAGCTGGACAATATGATAAATCATCAATAATGACTTTCTATTCAGTTTTATTTAGTCAATCAAATATTCATGAACATAAGCAAGACTGTGCTGTGCCAGCCCCACACTGCCAGATCAGTCGTTTTCACCTTGGCTTAGGTCATCAGAGGCATAATACTCCCTACAATGCACAATGTCTTGAGGGTTCATTGTCTCCAGGTCCTGTACTGATGGTAAATAAACTTCTCCAGCCTCATGTCTCTTCTTCCAACTCTCCGGCTAATTCAATTTATTCCACAACAGAGAGAGTTCTAATTATAGATATAACAAAAAATGAAAAAATAGTCAAATTTCATCCTCCAAATTTGAACTTGGCTCCAATCTTTAAGCTTTTTTGGCTGTAAACCTCTGTATTAAAAAGACCCAAGCATATCATAGCATGTCAACTCCCAGTCTCCAGGTCCTTTTTCCTCTCCCTGGTGAAAAGTCAGTGTCTGGCTGACATTTTCTACATGCTCTGCTTTCATTTCTCCTCTCACTGAAACCCACCTCCTGCCCCTGGGGTCGACCGCTACGACAGGTGCGTGACTTCAACTGACTGTACAGGTGATTGATGGGACAGGAGCAGACCAAAAAGTAAGAACATATACACATACACACACAGATAGACTTGCAGGTGTTGGATTCAGGTACAGGGCAGGTAGAACAGTTGTAAGTGATTGATGTGTCCAGATTAAATCATCCTGTTTGATTAGACAAAAGGCGCATGCTCACTTTGCAGGTGGCTAGTAGCTCAATGACCTAGATGTGTCAAAAACATCAAGTTGTGTGGAAACCATAAACTGTCAAAAAAGTGTGAAAAAGGTGAAATGTATCAGAAAACTTTGTATACTTTGGAATATTGGTAGGGTAGGGCAGTGCAATCAATCAAATTTTAATAAAGATCTAGATGACTGTTGTTGTCAGTGGAGCGCTTGTGTCTTTTTAATTGAGAGAGCTACAGGCAATCCTCTGTGGTTTGGAGCAGCAAGTTGTGAAGGAAATCTGTATTGTTTATGTTCAGAAAAAAAAATTTTGAAAGCCATAATTAAATGAGAAAATAAAAATGAATGGAAACATATAGTATGTTTGATCAATATGAGGAAAAAATCATGGTAAATTTCCCCTTATTGCATCTGGTAAAAATTATACCATTCATGCTCTATACAGTGTTCAGTCCTAGTTCAAGGGTAAATGTTTTATCCACTGTATTGACAATGGTAAATTATTGTTAAAACTTAATTTACACACCCCATGAAGCTAAAATTAGTATCCTAGACCATTTATACTTTCATAGTCTCAATCCAGATCACATTGTAAAATACTAGACAGGCATAATGGGCGTTTAAAAACTGTCTCTGGACTCTCAAGCTCTTGGTTAAAAGTTGTAATATTTTCCCATAGCATAAGTCTGCGGTGAGGTATTGTTTCCATATGGTCATATCTATGGTTTTCAGACGCTCAGAAACAGGAAAACCAGCAGGTAACCAAAATAACATGGGAATTCAGAATAATGGAAGATCCAAATCTGGTCCATTATTACTACAAACTCTGATACTTTAGCAGAAAGATCATATAGATTTTAACTGCCATTTAAATGTAACTCACTAAAAGAACAATGTGGTAGTAATTACATATAAGACTATACCTAAACTAGCCTATTTTATTGTTTGTTAATATGTGCATTATGTGTTTATTATTAAGTAGGGCTGGGGTATATCGAGATACAAAAATCCAATCCTTAGGGGTGTGAAAAAATATTAAAATACCGATATATTGTATGATTTAATTTGATGATACAGAATCAGTATTGTGGGCTGTATATTGACATGTCACCGTTATTACCCAATTTTTTGTGACAGCGCATTTTGTTGCTTATTTAGAGGACAGAAACTGCAATACATTCAACATATCCACTGTTTTCATGACTAGGTGTACTGTATTTCATATTACTATTATTATTATTTTTATCTGATGTGATCTGGTCCTGTGGATAATACACATTTTTGACCACCCACCCCTCCTACTGCTCAGCCTCCTTCATGATTGAAAGGAAGATTTAACCAATGACAGTGAAGTGTCAACTCTCAGAAGCAGCAGATGCCTATTAATAATAAATATAAAAATACTAACTGCATGAATCACGATAAAATTTGAATTGCGACCTCGGTTTTAACAAGTCGTGACAAGATTTTTGGCACGTCACCCACCACTAATTGCAAGTTGGGAACAGTGCCTTGGAAGAGGTCTACGGTAGATATATGCACTTTCTTTCTTCTTATCTCTTTTTCTTTGCCTTGTATTGTAACTTGCCGTTTTCTGGTCTGAAAGCACAACATGTCCCCACTCCCCTAATAGCCGGAGCATGTGGTTTCTCTTGAATCTCTCTGTACAGTTCTATGTCATTCTTCGAAGCTGTGGCCTTACCTCACCTACTGTAACAGGCAGCTGGCCAAGGTTAGCAGCAAGAGAGGAAATTCAGCCCAAAATCCCTGCACACTCTTCCTCCACAACACAAGCTCTTTTCGCCTCCCCAAAATGTGTAACGTAGTGGGATCAATCTGGCCCCTCCCATCCCTATAGTGGATCTACTACTAGTCTTGGCATATACTTCTCACGTCCTGGAGTAGTTTAAATTAGAGCAGGATCCAGGCCTGAGGACAGGAGCTTGTTGTTGGTGGGAGGGACAAGGCAGATCACCCTCAGAGCAGAACCCTCCAGAGGTGCGTCTAAGTGCAGTGAGTTAAAGACAGGCACAGGAAGTGGGTGAGAGAATTTCAGAATAAAAGCATAGCCCAAAATATGTAAATTGAATTCATTATGCAAGAATAAGTGATGTGGTCAAATCTGATGTAGTTAAAACACTAGGAAAAGGCATAACTACTGGTAATTATAAAGATTTTACATCAGATGCTCTTCCTGGACTCTTCATTTATCCAGGCTTGGAATCGACACAAACAATGTACTGGATATACAGGCCTATTCAGTATATTTCATGAGATCATCCACCTGAAAGGTTATGAGAATCTGCACATAAGAAGCTAATAAACTATGCAAACAATAATAAATAATAGTATTATAAAAATAGGCTAATTAGTAGGAAATGGAATGTTAAGATTTTTATTGATCATTTCATTTCCCACATGACAGGTTACTCAGTAGTCTACCAGTTCAAACAGATTAATTACAACTTTCACCATAATGAAAACAACCTGGACCACTGACCGCCAGAGAGAATAATGCAGAGAGCTCCTGCTCTCCTTCAACAGCTCTGTTCATAACATTGAGGAGTCCTGAGGTGACTCCTGCCTGGCTCTAGTAGATGCTGAGTGTAGGAATCATTACAGCAATCTAGTCCTTTTAACATCCAATGACAAATCCATAGACTGAAAGGCAGCAGGCTATAGTTAAGTGTCTGTATAAAAGTTCCCAAAGGAAATAATTGAGTTTTGGTCTAATTTGGAATCAAAGTTTTATTGTGTAGCCCTCCCGGTACCGTGGAGGTGGTGGTGCTGCCTTCACGGACAGTTCTGTGACAGTTACTATCGGAGCGACCTGACGCGGCCTTTACTGGACACACTGTAAACGGGCTATAATCTCCCCGAGGCTCAGGCCGCCGCTGTGAGACACGTGTGTGGGCATGTATCCGCCATAAGCCCCACGGACTCCGGTAAAAACAGTGTCTGTGGCGCGCTTCACACCAAGTGCACCCGTTAACCCCGGGAGGCGCGCTCCCGCCCCTCGCGCTCGCTGATGTCTGTCTGCAGCTGGAGCGCAGCGGGGATCGCGGTAACGACACCGGAGGACGTGAGTCCAAAGCGATGAATAGTGGCAGTGGTCTTACCGTGTGTCCGTCCCTCGTGCTCGCTCTCCTCCACCTCCTCGCGCTCCTCCGGGCAGCTCCGTGCGTCCTCCGCTGCTCGCGCGCTCTCTCTCTCTCCGAGCGGCCTGTGCTGCTTCACGAGCCGCAGAGGCAGCAGCGCCAACGCAGCTCCGCAGGGTCCTAAAGGCGCCAGGCAGGCTGTCTGTGCACAATGTCAAGTTCCTCTGCAACTTTTACTTCGTTCTTTGCACTCTTGTCATTTTAAAGGATGTGGCGTAGCCTATAGGCTAGTTATGGCCGACTACTTCTACTGTCAGACCTTGGTGAGGAAGACATTGTAGGAAAACTGGGTCACTGCCTTGTTACACACAAGACAAGCCAAACGTGACATTCACTAACCAGATTTGGTTAATTTGCGCCTATTTCTTTTTCACATTGCCTATTCATCAGATAGCCTAATGATTCTGTAGGCTCGATCATTTAGATCGGGACAGGCCTAGGCTCTTAAAATGTGCACTTCCCAAAGTCCGTCAAGCCACATTCATTATTAGGCTATTCCAAGTACTTTTCAAGGTTAATCCCGTCTTTGCCCTCAGACAGTTAAGGGAGTTCTCAGCTTCTGTCTTTCGATGCTATGTCAATATCTTACACGTGGACCTACTCCAGGTTCTGTTTGATTATTTTTTAAATAAGAGTAAATGGTCACATTTACCAAAAATAGGCCTCTTTGGTACCCCATACTAGGCCTCGTATTACTATGTAACAGTAAACTATAGTGTTAGCCTGTTAGTAGAAGTGTTAACCTATAGATTATTAGTAAGCACTGGGTCTATAGTAGGAGAGTTCAATGAGTTCTTCACTTATGAAACTCATATTTCAGCAGTCCTGTATGCAATACTTAAATACATAAGTTGTTTAACCTCCTGTCACTCCTGTCAATAAAATATTAAATTGAACAATTGCTGCAGCATACCTTAATTCATGGACATAATAACATAGTCCTTTAAATAAAGTAAACTGTCCACAAATCACCAACAGATTTAACGCACGAATGGGAGAAGTGTTGACGCTGGATTAGTTCAGAGCAGGTCTGGGCACGTTTTAACCGCTGCAGCCATCTTTGCATGTTGGAGTGAAAACCTCCACTGTCTCTGTGTATTTGAACATGAATGTATATGATGCAATATGCAAGATTATGTCATGTCCAAAGTCCAGTGGGGGCCAGTCTATTGTATGTTTGTCTCATGAATTCTCACAATAAAGCTTTATGAAAATGGAGTATTGTCTTTATGCATTACAGTCTTTCCATACCTGTAACAATTATGAATTAAACAGGTATACTATAGGTGTAACATTGTTTTATGTATAGCAAAAATGTGTGTCTACCTGGACGACTGAGGGATTTTAAACATTGTTTTATGTGTGTGTTTGTGTGTGTTGAAATTTAGTTAAATAATAATAAGAAAAATAAATAAAAATGAAATAAAATGCATACAAATATTAGCTCACACAAAAATATTAGTATATAAGTAGTCGTTTTATGCAGTCGTTTCACATGGTTAAACTGCATTTGACCCAATGGAGGAGAAAGTGAACCAGGGTCATCTCTGTTTGAGTATGAGGGTGGGTTATTTATAGCAGTCATTAAGGCCACCGACATCATCAATGGCTTTCATTCAGTCAACCAGGTCTAAATCCCCTCAATGCTCCCCTCCCCACAGTATCAGAGCTGGGTCTATCGCAGTCACACACCCATCTCACAAGGTCATGACCTCCTCTCAGCCTCATGGGAACAGAGGAAACTGCTCATCCATACTAATTAGGACACTAAATCAGGAGCAGCTTCAAAGGTGGTAGACTATGGAGGCTCTTCAAATCCATTGGTGGTATTGATCGCAGAAAATAGGTTGTTCTCATGATAAAAGGAAGACTATTGAACAATTGTTGTGCTATATTTTCTATAGATTCTCAACAATGCCATGTCTGCAGTTGGTAACCAAGGAAAATGTATAGCCTACCACTTTTGTTGAATTGTAAGTTGATTGAGGCACTATAGATGAGATTTGGGATTTTTGGATACAGTCAGCAGGGGCAACACTCGGTCTTGTCTGTGTGAACGTGCTGACAGTGAGTGTGCACAAAATGGAAGCCATGTCTCTGTCAATCCGTTCCAGGGTAGAAGCAGCTTATAACCACCAGTGACCAACTACCACATATTCATGTATTTGTAATCATCTCAAACTTTACTGCTGTTATATCATCATGAAAAACATGTTGTGTTTTGTTTCCTTCACACATGTTTAAGTAATCCTATATCTCGAAAGCTTAAAATCTCTTCATGGTCAAGCACAAAAGTACATCTGTGACATGTTAGTGCCATATGAACCATCTCGCACTCTGAAGAGCTCAGGGACCGACCTCCTGCTGGTGCCCAGAGTCAGGACTAAACACAGGGAGTTATCGTTTCAGGTTCATGCAGCTAAAATCTGGAACAGTCTCCCTGAAGATGTGAGACAGGCCTCTTGTTTGACTCTGTTTAAATCTTTTCATTTTTCATTCTGTTTCATTCTCTGTAATTTAATGTCTGTCCCGTTTTATGATGATTATTTGTGTTTTTATTAGTTTTTATTGTGATTTTAACATATTTCTTATTCTGTAAAGCACTTTGAATTACTTTGTGTACCAATTGTGCTATACAAATAAACTTACCATGCCTTGCCTTGCCTTAAAATCCTCTGCTCCACCTTGTAATCTAATGAACAGGTATTTTTCACATTAACAGCTATCTTTGACCTTTTGTTTAGTAGAGATTAGCAGTTCCAGGGCTGAAATGATTTAAATGATTAGTGAAGGTGTATGGAGTTTAAAAACACATTACCACATGACATCACAAGGTGGCAACAGCCTTAATATGCAGGATTTGTGTGTTAAACATGAGTGAATGAAAGAAAAAAACAACTTCAGGTCTGTTTTTGATGAGGAAACAATATTCTAACATAGATAAGAAAATAGTATAATATGGACCTTTTAATGCACTGTGTGATAATCTACTGTACCTGAAAATAAAAAGTCATAAACCATGTACTTGATATAGTTAAATATTTATTGAAATAACACAGATGCACACTCGTCACACTTAGTCTCTTAGGCAAAGTTCTGAGCTCATCTTGTTTACAATTTGTCATTTGTCTCACTCACCAGTCACACATATACCACACAAACATGTACACATTCACTTAATCAGACGCACCCAATAATAAAGAGAAAACTTCAGTCAAACTTAAAAGCTTATTCCAAAATGTACAAGCCAAGCATAAGGCAAAAAAAACTGAAACATGCTATTGTACAAACTATAGCCATGTCATGCAGTTGGCAGTTTGATCATGTTAAAGAAAATAAAATTCAGTCATAGCTTCATCAACAGCAAATTAGTTCTTACAGGCTTTTATTTTTCAGTCATGCAGCAAACCTATAAAATTAAAGTCTATATTGAAATCGGTTGAACATGTTAAAAAGTTCCTGACATAAAAAAAAAAAAGAGATGCTCCAGGGGTGGATTTCAATTTTGAATTCAATTTTGGTAGGCTTATGAATCAGTTGCACAGATTCTAAATACAGTACATGTGCCACTCTGGTAAGTAATAAATAACATGACTTTGAAACAGTCATGTAATTCTCAAATAAAACCAGCTGAGATCTCTTAATGTGCATCCCTTTACAAAGTTGCAATGTAGAAAAACATTTCTTTCTAAACCTTCCCTTGACCTTTTGAAAAGTATCTACTGTATATTTTTTTGGATAGTTTCTAGCACACACACAACCACACAAAAGAAAGTTACAATTCTTGTTCTACCACTGCAGTACCACAACACACAGAGGCCTGGACAAACCTGAGCTACTTCACACTATAGCACCTATAGCTCTACTCCAGGCCTTAGACCCACAATGGGACTACTGCGTCTCCCTTTACACCTCAGCCACTAAGGCATGACTTAAAGTGGTGACTCAACATTTTTATCATTGTTCTGAGAGCTAACCCATGTCAGTCATTTTTTTAAAGGTCCAATGTCTGAAAAATGTGAATTAACTTTTAATTTAGAAGATCATTCAAAAGTAGTATTTATTAAATATAAACCATTCCAAATGTGGTTTATATTTAAAAATCCTAGAAAAATCTGTTGCAATGTATTATTAATAATACTATTATATACTAACTTCATCTTCCACTGATAACTACTGACAACTAAAACTTTGCTAGAGTGTCTCATTGAACAAAGTTAAAAAGCCAAACCACCCCTTTAATAAAATGGGATTAGTCCCTTAAAAGCTTATAGTCTCAGCAGGGCCAGACCACATGCAAAAACACACTCAAATCAAGGAAAAATCAAACACCAATAAATACTAAGCACACAGTGCCAAAAATGAAAACATTACAACTCATTAAGCTTTCATCCTCTTACTTTTCTCTTTGTTTAAAACATCCTCAAACTTCTTTACAACATGTCCTCAATCCTCTTCATGTCCTCACAGGCCCTCTGACTTACTTGACCCTTTAAACTTTGACCACACTTACAGTAAAAATCAGTAGGCTCTTTATGATTCTTCAAACTAAACAAAAAGACAACCACAGTGACAAGACAAGGACTGAATCACAGCTATACATCAGTAGAGACCCTAGGGTCGTTTGGTGTCCAGCATTGTGATTGGCTGAGAGATTACGCAGCTTGAAATATCCAGCGGATGACACTGGCAAGCTGCACTTCAGGCCCCAGAGGAGAAGTCTTTGGATGATGCATCAACTCTGTCTACAAGAGAAAGAGAAATGATTGACTTAACTTTACTTACAAAGTCACAGTTACATTTTACATGTAATGCTACTACTTACATTTTCTTTGTCCAGGATCCGTTTAACCTGCTGTAAAATGGGAAGATTCTTTGTAAAAACTGCCAAAGCAAATACAGCACTAAAAACTTTTCACTTAAATACCCCCAGATTCATATATTTTATGGCCAAGTACCCCCGACTAGCTTCAGTGCTGTTTCTTTCCAAGAGTCCCTTCTGGTTAAATCCACTTGCCTCATAAAGCAGGGATAATGAGATGGCATTTTAATGAAGCTCACTACAAACAGAGGAGCAGGTACAGGGGCAGGGGGCAAGCACGGAAAGCTACAGGAGTCTAAACAGCAATAATGTTTTCAATATAAATATTTAATGCTAAGAGTTTAAGCATGGAACAATATAAAAAGCATGGAACAACACATGAGAGAGATTTAATAAGGAAGAATAATTGATCCAATGAAGGCTTCAATAGTATTGCCCTGATCACCACAGTAATCATCAATTACATTGTCATAGTCAGGATTTTTAGATTGTGCTATATGTTTGTTGCACAAAAGTAAATAACAAGAGGGAATTTTAAATACCAGGGAACTGAAACTCTTCTGTAACCAGCAATTAAATACAAGAAAAAAAGTTAAAAGAATTAACTAGAATGCAAGCTAAATAAAAAATATTTACCTCTGTCCTTTCCATTAATGAGTCTTTCTTCTTCCTCCCTACCTTCATCTTGGGAGGAAAAATAAACAGTGACGTTATAGTACATTGTTTGGAACATTGAACTATGCTGTCATACTGTATAGAAGTACAATACCAGAGTGCAGCTCTTTGACCAGAGAGGACACAGTGTTGGTGATGGAGTCAGCTGCTACTAAAAGGTCATTCCTCAAGTTCCTTCTTGGGCCTGTGCAGAAGAGATAACAAGAAATGGATGATACTCTAAGGAAATAGTGAGTCTCACAGCAAATTTTGATCACATTTTGGGGTTTTTAGGATTAGTGAATGTGTGAATCATTATAACTACCAGAATGTGAACATAAAGTTTCATGTTTTTGTTTTTTCATACACAAGATGCCAGAGGTGGGAATTTGCAAGTCGTGACTTTGACTCAAGTCAGACTTGAGTCACTATTTTTAGGACTTGAGACTTGACTTGTTAAAATGGACTAAGACTTGGGACTCAACGTGGACTTGAGGCCTGTGACTTGAGAAGATTCGAGAGGCACTTTTAAATCTAAATTCGTTCTATTCTGACTGTAATGATTCACTCTAAGATCTTGTCAAGATATTTAAAAAGGAAAAAATGCATTTCTACAACTCTAATATACTCTACAAATACTCATATATAAATATACTATGACTTCAAAAGTACAAATTATCTTAAAAGTCATAAAAATTGCAAAAATCTAAGCGAGATTTGGTGCTTTGGTTTAAAGACTTGAAATGACTTGAAGCTCAAAGCATACTTGGATTTGACTTGGATTTATAAGCCAGTGACTCACCTATATTTGACTGGGGACTTGACTCGGACTTAAGGTCAAATACTTGAGACTTACTTGAGACTTGCAAAACGATGACTTGGTGCCACCTCTGCAACATGCTATACTTACATAACATACAAGTTCTCCATTCTATTCATTCTCTACACTGGATGCTTGACCAAAGTAATGCAAACGATGCATGCCCCAAATAAACTGATGGAAATTAGTAAATAGTAATAGGGACATTTTAATGGAGCATTTTCATTTTATGGGCAAAAATGACACATCCAAAACCTAGAAGTGTGGTAAGAGCAACACAGTAACAGAATCTGCTGTAGCATGTGTGTACGTGTGTGTGTGGATGAGACTGTGCATGTGGCGATGTGTCATGAGGCGTGGGGGTAGGATGGTTGGACGGAAAAGCGTGAGGCATTGTTTTTTTGCTGTCCCTGCAGTATAATCAGCCAGGTAGGACATATTGTAAATAAAGAACAGAGAACAGTTAGGCGTTGATGTCACTTACCTTGGGCAAAAGCCTCCTGAACGTCTCCCCCGACCCCAGCCAGAGAGTCGTGGTGGTGGTGCATGTGGGTGTGAGGAGAGGCCGATCGGGCAGAGCGCACTCCAGCTACTGGACTGGGGCGGGCTGGGGAGGCATGGGACGAGCCAGCAGCCTGAGCCTAGAAATGTAAAGAAAATAATTCAAAACGACGTCTAGCACAATAGTTTTACTACTGTTCGTACAACACTATTATGGTAAAATAATGAATACTTAGAGTCTGTTTATTGTTTATGTTAGTTTATGTCTAGATTATAAACACTGATAATAAAAAAAAAATTTAATTCCTTATGCTTCATTTGCCAGTTTGTTAAAAGGTACAAATTGAAAATAAAAAATCGACTTTTAAGAGCTATCAACCAAGTTATAAGTGTTTCTCCTTCTCATTTACTTTATTTGAGTTACAGGAGTTGAGCTCTATACTTGCTCTGTTGTCAGGTTTTATTAAAGAATTATACACATAGCCTGTTTGGGTGTTATAGATCATATTTAGCAGACAAAAGCATAATACATCTTCCTTATCTTTTATAGGTAACAAAAAATGTGCATCTAAATATTTTCCACAACCAATAATATCAGCAACACACACTCAAATCATAAAAACTCACTGCTTGTCGTTGTTCCTCATCCTAAACGATCACAAAAGGAGCATTTTGGGGGAAAAGGAGAGAAAAGTGTGGAAAAAAGGGTCAGAGACAGTCGAGGGAAAGTTCAATTCAAAGTTGGAAATGTAGCAACAGCGATCATACTAAATTAACCACTGTGAGGATAGCAGACATAGGGAATACAGAGGAATAGAAAAGTAAAGGGCAAATCTTATATAAAGTTTAGCTCGCATTCACCTTGAGCAATTTCATGAGTCCCTCGAGCTGCACCATGAGCTCCCGGCGGCTCTCCTGCAGCGTCGACATCCTCTGCTCCAGTTCGTCCTTCCTCTGTCTGAAACACAAACATAATATTGCAGTTTAGACACCACACTTAAAGGTTACAAAGAGACAGATGACGATAAGGAAATGTGATCTAATATTATAATCAGACCAAACAAAGACATACACCGACACTTCTCTTTGCCTCTGTGATGTTGTGCCAGGTGGGCTTAACAAATCACATTGATGTTTCAGAAGCACTCATTTATTTGATTCATCTTAAGGCTATTAAAAAAATCTTACTGTACATGAATCCTGATTAAATTAAATTGTGGTCTAGTATTTTAAAAAAGTGCAATAGCTAACATGTGCACTTAGTCATCGAGTTGGTACATTCATGGATTTCAGTCTTCTGCTCAAGGCAACATTTTGAAGATATTTCAACATTCAAAAGGCTGGATATTTTTTGGCAATGGTCCTAATTTTTCATCATCTAAAATCCATGGATTAAAGGCGAGAGCAAATCAGCACCACAAGAGAGTAACTATAACTTTGAGAGTGTGTTGTAATTCAAGATTTGAAAAAAGGTGTGTCAGAAAAAAAATGAGTGTACTGGAAAAACATCTGTTAATTTTCAACTTAGTAGTGGTTAATAAATTAACTCCTACAAAAAGTAACAAAGCAACAAAGAGCAGTTGTTTCAATATAATGCACTCTATTGCACTACAGCTCCATAATGTTTTTATTTTTGCAGAGAAGCATAAACATGTTGGGTGTGATTTTTACATTGGCGCTTCACACAATCTGCCATCTGCTGTGTCCATCTGCTCTCGAGTGCTCTCCTCTGAGCCACCAGTGTTTCCCGCCAAAACTGAAATGTGGCACTGCAGAAAAACACTGTTGCATCGATGGCAAAGAGTGATGACTAAACTCTATATATGAAGTCCCACAGAATATCAAGTTTGTAAAAGGGGAGTACAGTTTACATCCTCAGGGGGGCACTGTTCACCTGAGTTGGCGCAGTTCGGCCAGGAGAGTGGGATTTGTGGTGCCCTTCTCTGGACTGGGATGGCACGCTGCGTCATGCTCTACACGAAGACGCTTGATCTCAGCCAAAATCTCTCTAGGATACAACAAAACAACAACATACCGGAGATACCATTAAAACTGAATTACAGTTAAGAGTTTTATAGAGCCCATCCTTAAATATGAAATAATGTCATAATCAAATTCTCAAATGTGAACACAGCCTATTTTGGAGAGAGTGTTAGTAAGAGAAGATACCAAACAAACCTGTTCTTGTTTTCCAACTGAGCAATCAGCTCCCTCTTCTGCTTATTGGCGTCAAAGTTAATGCTTCGATTTGGTATCATCTAAAAAGGCAGAAAAAAGCTGTTCAAAGTGGAGCCAGAGCGGATTTTGTAAACAGTTGCTCTTAAATTCACTTACGCCTGATCCTTCAGTTTCTGCCAGACGGGATGTGTAGCGGGCGATCAGTTTGTGCTCCTCATCTTGTCGGCTTGGGCTGTCCACACTAAACCAGTAAAAATACTACTAGTTGTTTCTTTCATATTATAATTGACTATCTATGAATCTTTATTCTTCAGTTTTTTATGCTAGGCTACTGTGACCAATTACCCCACTAGATCAATACATATTTTTTCTGTCTTTTTGTAAATAATTTAGCGTTTAAATAAATTATAAATGTTTTAAACTAATTAAAATAAAGGAATCAAGCACATTTCTCTCACCTTGGGCTGCCCTGGAGCCGATTCACATAAGCTGCAATAAGTGCATGCTCCTCATTCATTCTCTGAGCAGCTGACAAACTGAGAGGGACAAAAGCACATTGTACACTGAAGTTTACATATTAATAGGACTGCTGATTAGTTAACTTCTTTTAAAACATATTTTCACTTTGCGGACTACCTCGCAAATACAGTCTATACAGCACTGTTCTAAACAGTAAAAAATGTCAATAATGTAAGCACCACAAGATTTTTAGTGGAATTAATCAATAAAACCATTTTGCAATACACTTAATTTCTCAACACTTTTCTGGTGCTTTACTTTGACTACTGGCATTACTATCACAAATATTGTAAAGCCAGTTATCATTTTTATTGGGTTTTCTTTTTTTACTCTTATACTGTTTTCATTTGTTATTGCATTTAATTTATAATCATTTAATTTTCTTACAGTGCTATTGTATATGTGCAACATCTTTGTAACTGTCTTGTTTATAAAATGTGCTTTACAAATAAAGATGGATTAAACAGGAAATGGTGATGTTGCAATCCAAGGATGATGAAATATGCAAAAATAAAACATTTTCACCATCAATAAAAAGTATTTAAAATCTAAATGAACTTTGAATCTACTTTAATCATCAGTTTCACATTACAACATTACATTTGGTTTAGATTTTATGTAGAAAGATGCTACTCTTTAATTGTATGCTGCTTTAATTATCAATAATGTAAGTATCATGATGTATTATAAATACCTTTTAGATGATTCTGGCACCACAGGGGACAGCATCATATCTTCACCGTCGATAGGTCGAGTAGGTCTAAAGTAACAAATACATTATTAGCCATGTAAACAAATGCATCAACAACATGGATCAAATATGCAATTTAGCAAAACACATTATAAGGTCACATGAGGTAAGAAACAAACTCCTTTCAACGCTGCATATTTCATTTAAAATGTAACCAATTTATCTAATGCTAGCTCTCTCACTCACTTGTGGAAAGTGCAATGTCTGTATTTTGGCCTAATTTAGTTCTGCTGGAGGTCTGCAATGATCTACGCTGAGGTCATTCAGAAAATCAAAGACTAGAGGTGGAGCTACATAAGTGGGTGGCAATGGAAGTAAACACGAGGCTGTTGTGTCACATAAAACAGCTTATCATTTGAGAAGCTGTATAAAACTTGAAGATGAAGTTTACAATTATGTGCGAATAACAGACACTGAACTGCTACTATAACTTACTGGAATACAGAAAGTAATGGCCATTTTAATGCTTTGATTATACAATAAAATTCACACTTGTATACGACTAAATGAAGGACTTCAACCTAGTTCAGCCACAAAATGCACACAATCTAAACTACTGACCAGCAATTTGAGTTGAAAAATGAAATACATGTGCATGATTATAAAGTATATTGTCAGCATAAAATTGTGAATTTAAAAGTAGGTTCCACAACAGACCACCTCAGAACCACAAATACAGCATTATACTTCTAATGTTGCTTATTGTTTACAGTCTGAGTATTGGGCTTACACAATGTTGGAAAGGTTGAGGGTTCTCTCTGGTTCCTCAGGGTACACGGGGTGAGGAGGTTCTCGTGTTGACACGCACCCCAGAGTCTTCCCAAGAGCTCGGCCAAACTTTGAGGCTGAGGATTTCTGCAGTAACAAAGTACAACAGTGTAAACCTCTTAGATGTACTGAAAAGGTCCTACTATGTTGTTAGAAAATAAGACAGCGTAATGTCCTACTATGTTATGCATTATTTAGACATTTCACTCCTTAGCTTTAGTATTGTATGTAAATAAACACTCAACTAAAATAAAAAAATTAAAAATCATGACAGTTTCAATATGATGTTTTTATGTTGGCTATGAGGTTTCAACTCATCACCTATATGCATAGACTAACTAACTAACAAGCTAACAAACACAATAATAATGTAGAAAAGGTACATTTGTACATCTTCCTTAATGCCCTGAACGCCCCCTGCTGGTTTGTTCCAGGCACCACATTCTGGCAACACTCACCCAGGACGAGTGCTCCTTCATCTGGTGTTGTCTGCTGTGAGAGCCGCTGGTGTTTCCTCTCCAGAAACAGTTCTGACACAGCTGGTAACCGCGACAACGGAGGCAGCGGTATCGAAACCCCGTCATCCCATTACTACGACAATAGGAGCAAGACACCGGGTGGTACACTGAGGAGGGGAAAGAGATGTCAATCAAAGTACACATCGCAGAGTGAGCTGTCAGTCACACTACATAAACTACATGAGTAATTTGAGTAATCACACTAATACAAAAGTATTCACTGTACCATGCTCCACGTTGGCCATGCGGTGCATCAGTGGGAGCCACACCAGACACTGGGGAGGGTCTGACACAATGTCCAGAAACATGTTCAGCATAACTCTCTTCTGCAAAAGACAGTGGAATACCACATTAAAACAGCTGAATTATTTTTTAAAAAGCATTGATGAGCCTGACAATGTACCTGTTGTGGGAAGCATGAGCGGGCTAAACTGTGGTTGTATCCAAAGGACGGCCCCTCGTGGACAGCAGTGGGCAACTTCAGAACCTCTCTCAGAAAAACATCAAACTTTGGCAGCACCAGAACTCCATGGGAGTCAGAGACCTGAGAAAATACATCTGACAGACAGAAAAAGTGATTATTGATAATGGTAGAGAGCAATTAGTACATACTATAGTTTTTGTTTTTCTCCAACATTATTAGTTCCACAAACAAGGCTGCAATTTATAAAAGTATCCACTAGATGGCACTTTAGTAACATAAGTGAGTAATAACTGCTGACCATGATGACAGCGACATCTGTCATCTGTAAAAAGGCAATAAAACTTTTATTTTCATTGTGGAAGTAAATACTCACAACGGAGTTTATCGACCAGTTTCCCTCCACAGAGCACAGACAGCAGAGCCTTCACAGAGAGCACAGTGAGCCGACCTTCAGGATCACTGCAAACACATAAACAAAGTTATAAAATACTCAACTATAAATATTCATATTCAACTTCTAACAGTAGTAAATAATACAGCTTTAATCCAAGAGCTAATTGGATTTTAAAATGCACTTCTCTGCCCTTGTGACTAAGCTAAGCAACATTGCAAAGCGATGACAACTGTCCCTGTCATTCGCACCTGTCAACAGTGGCCAATATGAGCTGGACCAGCAGCACGGTGCTCTCTCTGGGGTTGATGGTGTAAGTGGTGGGCAATCTTTTACTGAGCTGATTAAACAGAGAAGAGACCAGGTTCTCCAGGCGAGTGACTGAGATACCAGCGTGCAGCTCCACAGTATTCAAGCCAGCGTCTCGTACAGCCTCAATCACATGGTATATGTCGATCAGGTGCACTGGGGATGAAAAGAATCAGAGTGAAAATGACAGTATGGACTTGTGGACAGCAGAGGTGGATAAAACACTTAAAAGTAAACTCAAGCTACACAGATTTTTAGTCGAATTAATCAATGAAACCCTTTTGCAATACACTTAATTTCTCAACACTTTTCTGGTGCTTTACTTCAACTACAGGTATTACTATCACAAATATTGTAATGCTGGTTACCATTTTTATTGGGTTTTCCTTTTTACTCTAATACTGTTTTTGTTAGTTATTGTATTTAATTTTGTAATCATTAAATTTTCTTACAGTACTATTGTATATGTGCAACAGCTTTGAAACTGTCTTGTTTATAAAATGTGCTTTACAAAGTTTATAAAGTTGGATTGAACAAGAAACAGTCATGCTGCAAGGACAATGAAATATCATACAAAAATAAAACATCTTCACCATCAATAATACGTTTCAAAATCTTCTAAATGAGCTTTCAATCTACTTTAATCATCAGTTTCACATTACAACATTACATTTGGTTTAGATTTTATGTAGAATGATGCTACTTTTTAATTGTAGGATTTGTCTTATAGTTACAGTGATGACAGTGTTGTTTCTGACTCACAGTTGCATCTCTTCTGCAGAAACCTCAGTTTGCATGCTGTTCGATATGTAGACAGCACAATGGCATCAAAGTTCTGCTCCCCTGGGACAAGATAAAACAAAAAGACTTACATCAGTAAATGAGTCATGGACTCTTAAACTAATCACTTTGCACTTGACGCCTGAACACCACAGCACACATTTCCTCACGTGCCATTCAAATACAGTGTAATTTATCTCTTCGGTTCATTCCTGTGACTCACCAAGCTCCACCAGGATCTGCCGGCTCTCGACTCCGGGACCTCGCCCCCGGTCTCTCAGCCCCCCCTCCTCCATCCTCACCATCCTGAACACAGACAAAACACAAACTACTATTTAACAAAGCAGTCAAAGTACTATTATTATTATCATCAGTGTTGAGAAGTAACTGAGTACATGTACCAGGAATATGCATTCTGAATACAGATTTTTAGTAACTGTATTCAGGTGGTATTCAGAATACAATCACTTTCCTTAAATCTAAGGAATATATGGTGGTACTGGTCACAAAAATTTAGGCTTCAAAAAGCACAGAATCAGTGAAAAAAAACCAGAAATTTTGGTTTGTGCTTATGTAATTCTTCCATCTCCACTGCTGTATTCAGTATTCTGTAACTAAATACATTCAAAGTATTCTTCCAACCACTAATTATTATTGTCTTTTTTTTTTTTTTTGGTTGGTTAAGAAAATGTGTCCTATAAGATGAAAAAGAAACAATGTGTCCTCTATGTTATCCACAAAGAACAAATAACATTTGTTTCAAATGGTAATATGTTGAAATGAATCTGAATTTAAAATATACTCTTAAATATATAAAAATATATATTTTTTATTATGCAGTTACAAAATAATAGGTTGTGGTGGCCAAATATTATTTAAATAAGTTTTGTTTTACCACAAGAAGCCATTACATGACTAATGCTGTCACTGCTGACAAACTCTATTGTTCTACAAGGGAAATGACTTGGACACAGTAACGCTCAGATTATAAAAAATATGATAATATAATAACAAAAATGTAAATGGTAAATTCAAAATACGTAGCATTTCTTGACCCTTATTTCAAAGTCACATAGTACTTACTCAAATAATAAGATAATTTGGGTCTATTAAGATTTCCCAGCAACAGTAGCCAAAATCCTCCTTGGAGAGTCAGATTCCATGTGGTTGAACAATTGTGGCCAGTAAAAAGAAAAATTAAGATTCATGTTTGGAATTTGTAATGAAAAATACAATCCACTTTCATAGTTATGCATGAGCTGAAACCATAATGTCTTTTTCTCTTAGCTTCTCCCATATCTAAGACTAACACGGCCTTTATTCATGTTACTAATATTCTTATCCTTAGATCTCGACTGAGAGTGTCTAAGAGAGGGGTAGTATCACTCTATTGACTCAACACAAAAGCTATGGGTGAATTCTGCACCTCGTAACTCTAGCTTCAAATGAAGACACACCCTTTTGGACACATAAGACTATACTGAGTTCAAGGCCATTCAAGGATGGGCTTGTAAATAAACAGCTGAAGTCATCTGAGCTCAAGGCAGGCGTCGGTGTGGAGCTCTGGTTCAGATTTTGTTTGTTATATAACAGAATTGCATTTTATGTTTAAAAAAAAAAAAAAAAAACGATTCACAAATAATAATGCTGTATTTTACATAGATAATTAATTTCAGCTTCCAGGTTTCAGTGTCTTAATTGTCTTGAGGTCTCTTTCCATTCAACAGATTTTTTTTTATAGGCTAGTGTTTTTATGTAGTTAATCACTATGGCAACAGTCTAATTTTGTGTTATTCTGAAACCCATATATAGTGGCTTATTGCATTTAGGGCTGAAAGATACGAAAATATATAATGTGATTTTTGATAAGCAGTTATTAAAATCAGCTCAGAGAGACCTCATGCAAATTTTGTTGTTTGCCAAATATTTTACAAAGCCTACAAAACTGCAAACTTTGTTAACTGCATCATGTCAACTAACAGAACTAGGAAATCAAAAATGTCATGTCAATGTTAATTTGCATCTCCATGGCAACAGTCAGAGTGGCCTAAGTGACTCTCAAATATTTGCGTTCCTCATCTAAATGTGGTGACAGGCCAACCCCCAACACACACTTTACACTACGACATGGTTTGTGCACATTCCTGAGCGGATTTCAAAACCTTCCCAGGAGACTTGGGCTTCATTCAGACAAAAGACCTCAAGAGTCCTCCCCGCTCTCCCCTTCTCTCTTCCTCCCTCTCTCTCTTCCTCTCTCTCGCTTGTCTCACTACTCTCTTGCTCCCTCGCTCGCTCACACTGTTGGCTGGTTGCACTGTTGCTCCTTCTTGTCTTGTTGCAGCTGTTTCACTCCCTAACTCTCAAATTCAAGTGTATTGAATCAAAAGATGCTGACAGCTGTATTACACAACATCACAGTTTTCCACTATTGTAGGCATATTTCTCATTCAGTAAGTCCAGGTGTATTGTGTAACTTTCCCGGTGGAAGGTCAGTCAAATGCTTTTCTCCATGGAAATGTTATTGCTTTGTCTGGAATGTTTCACAGTATGGTATTAAACCTTTCTATCTTCATGAGACCAAGTCAGACCAAGCTACAGGTCAGATCTGTGAAGAGTAGGGGTGTAACGATATCCAAGCCTCACGATACGATATTGTCACGGTATGAACCTCATGGTACAATACTTATTTCAATATCGTGGGAAAGCTCACAATTAGGAATGTAACAATATCCAAATCTCTCAGTATGATGTTTTCACAATATACATCTCACGGTACGATATTTATTGCGATATTTTGTGGAGGCTAACAGAACTGTTAATATGCTATTTTTTCCTCTTAAAATGCCCTTGACAAGACTTAATCCAAAGAATTAAGACTTAAAAGTGCTTAGAACTGTTATTTCTTCTTGTAGTCTACACTAAAATGGAGCAAAGGATCATCATCTATGTACAGTAGTTCTCTGTTTTTTTTAGCTACTGCTGCACCATAACTCTTAAATTAAGCAAAGAGACTTGTAATTCGATATATTGTGATGGTCCATGATATTATTGTGAGAACTTTGACGATACGATATCACATTGTTTGTTACATCCCTAGTGAAGAGGCAACCCCGCTCAGTCAGAGTTCACTTTTTTTTAGGTATTTAGGTATTTTTGAGCTGTAAAATCACCTGCATGATGATGATGATGATGATGATGTGAAAGTGGAAGCATAGACTCTTTTATTTATTTTATTTATTTATTTATTTTTATGAGGTTTAGAAACCGCAGCCTCATGAGTTACTAGTACGGTATCTAAGCCTGCTGTCATGTTAAAGCATGAGCCCACTTTTCTGCTGTGTGACTTTGAATGGAAGGGTTTAATTCCATTATGTTGCCTGAACTTCAGTTATGAAAATACACTTGCTATTTCTCACCCTTA